AACACATTAATTCAAAACATACTATGTAGTGCAATTTGGACAGTCTAACCCCAAAATATATAGTATATATATATATATATATAAATAAATAACTATAAAAGTATAAATCGTAAATATTAAAAATATTTGTTCACAGTATATATAATATATAATAATATAATTAAGTAAAAAACTATTCAATATTGGATTCATTTCGAAGGTATTAACGAGATGATTATAATGGTGTAACTTGTTAAAATAAAATTGTATTTTTTAATATACGATTATGTATGTTAATTTGATAAAGATTTAAAAAGTAAAGGACGTAAAATAAATTAGTTAATTAATTATAGGGGTATAAAGTATAAATTTAAAATTATAATTTTAAAAAATATGTTGTGAGAGGGTGAGTGTATGTGAGTGGGTGAGTGTATGTGAAGAGAGAAGGGGGTGAAAAGGTGAAAAAGTGAGTATAAAGGGTATTTTGGTCATTTAGTATTTTAAGACTTTAAGACTTGCTAAATTTGCTTAATAAGATAGTATAGATAATGGGCTCATCCCGTTGGAGGTTCAAAATTTCATTCCTGGTTAAATTAGGAGAACAAAAATTCATTCACTTTTTCATTCGCAGTCATTTTTATTTTCATTCCCCTGCCTGAGCCGAACAGACCCTTATATTGTGTAATAGAAGGGTACTCGCGCAATTTAGCGAGATAAATCTCGATTTTAATGTTTAATTTTCATTCTTTATCTCTAACGATATAATATGATTTTATGTGGTTTTGAGAAATCGATAATGTTTTTATTTTTCGATGAAATATAAATTTGAAGATAGCATAAAATTTTGAAAAATAATAAATCGATATTAGTATCAAATTAACTATCTAATAGTTCTCGTTTCTTTGGTATAAGTTCTTTAATTCAATTTTTTATTATAATTCAATTTAGTTTTAATAACAAAGTAATTTCTTTTTTTGGTTTAATAATATAATTTTTTTTAAATAATAATTAAACATTCTGTTAGAAATCAATGATTATCTAAATTATATTTTAGATTTTCTATGTTTAAAATTGATGTTTATCTTGTATTTGATTATGTTTATTTGTAGTTATTTATACGAATTTAAAAATAAAGCTTTAATAAGTTGTACTTACACAAAGTTACTTGTACTCTTGAATTTTAAGTAATATACATCAATAAACAGTACTTCATGCATAAAAAATGATTTTTAAGAGTTTTTTTGTAAAATACTTTATAATATAGTATAGACAGATAAGTGTTGTATGAATCAATTTAATTCTTAAATTGAAGAATGAACAGATTTATAAATGACATATAAACATGTTCATGAAAATCTGAACTTTAAATCAGTTAATTTCATGTTTTTAGATCTGAAAAATAATTCAAGGGAATAACTGGACATTTTTTTCATGTCCTGACATAATTTTTGCCATATATGTTGTAATAACACCGGAACAGTTTTTGTTTGTTGTTACAACAGGAATCACAATTCTTGTGTTTGTTAAGAGTTCAATGATAATGGGTTTGATGAAAGATGAGTCGATTTAACATCGACAATTGGACCAAATGACATTTGGGCTAGCGGTATGTGAGTCTTTGGCCTTCTATGAGGTCACGAATTCAAACCTCACCAAATGTGAGGAGGGTGTGTGAGTTTATTTATTTTATTTGCCGTATATAAATATTATATACTTCAAAAAAAAAACATCGACAATTTGGTTAGGTTTTAACATTATGAACCCTAAAATAATGACGAGCTCGTTACGACAAAAAAAAATATCAGTCCCCTAAGTGGTATCATTAACGATTGTTCAATCTGTATATGATCGAGTATTAATGAATCGACTTACAATATATTCTATTTTTAACAGATCTATTATATAATTTTTTTTATTATTTTTTTATAAAAATGAGATATTATTTTAACAGTATAATATTTAGCAGATTTAACAACCTTTTCTCTTCTAACAGCTATGCTAAAACGTGTACTGAAATAAGGAAAAGAAGATAGAAAAGGTGGGAATCGTCAACTTTGAAGAAAATCCCTGCGAGCATTTTTAATAGGTATACTGTATTTTTTCACAAATTCAGAGATTTCTCCATTTCTTTTTCTAATTTTAGAACATAGTTTAACACAATTGTTGGAACGTATTTGTTTTACTATGTGGGCAAATTGTATGGAAAAGTAACGTACTTTAACTTGATTCGTATTTTAGGTAACGTACTTTCAAAACTTACAATTTGGTACCTAATATGTAAAGTTTTATACAATTAAGTACTATGGTAACCGGTTGAATACTAATTATAGATTAAAAAACCACTAATTTTAGATTAAAAAGATCCATGTCACTAACCACGTCAACAAATAATATTGAGTTGGATACCACATCAACATGATAACTAGTTGCTCAAATATTTAAATTTTAAAACTTTACATCTTAGATACAAAAATGGAAGTTTCGAAAGTACGTTAGCCAAAACAAGAATTCAGTTAAAATACATTACTTTTTCATGCAATTTGACCTTAACTTGTTGGTGATAATGGAACAGTTTTGATCGTAGCCAATTAGAAAATTCACAAAATCCCCCGCGTTTTCGAAAATCTCCAGATTTTCTAAAATAACATAGTTAAGATGTTGGAAAATTTTGTGTTTAATTTTGAAAAAAATAAGAATTTAGAGGGTTAAGTATTAAAAATTACAAACTAGAGGGGGGTAGAGTGAAAATAGTGAAACTTTATAAAGAAGTAGGGTTTTATGTTGATACACCCTACCATACCAACGCTTTGCGTTTCTCCACTCTCTTCATAGCAGCAGCTGCAGGTATCATTCTCGATCTCATATCAATCAAATATGTTATGGATTTGGTGCGATGGTTCTCTTTCGTATGCTTGATTCTTAGTTAAATTATGTAGATCTTACAAATACTGCTTTGATCCACGTAATCGATTTTCGCGACGTGTGATCCGTAACTTTTGTAGAGATTACGAAATGTACATTCTTCAAGTGTGTTTGTTGACGTTAATTTGGAGATTTAGGAAGAAAATTTTCAGACGATTAGTGGTGTAACATCTCTTCGAGTAGAAGAATGATCAGTTTGCCATCACTGCACATGTTGTTGGGAGTTTCAGACTCTTCTGATAAGAGTCATTTGGTTTGTATTAGAAGGTTTTCAGGCATTTTACGGCAGAAACTAAGTAAAATGAAACATCAGAAGGGATGGGGTGGAGTTGCGTAGGAATTGCGGTGATGAGCACATTTCTGTTTGACATTGTTTTACAAAAACGTAGACATTTTTAATTAGCTCTCAATATTTTTGAACCTTGAACAGTCTTCTACTCGAATAAATGTAACACCGATAATTGCCTAACATTTTATGTACATCTCCAAATTAATGTCAACAGAACACCCAAACATTGCACATTTTTTAATCTATATATATATATATATATATATATATATATGTGTGTGTGTGTGTGTGTGTGTGTGTGTGTGAGTGTTTCCAATTACCTTTCAGAAAACGTGTAGATAGATTGACTTGGTAATAGTGTAAAATTACACATGTTTCTGTTCGACATTGTTTTTTGGGGTAGTCCAATATGTTTTTGCTTCTAGCTTGATATTCTACTTCAAACGATTTTCATGAAAGGGCTTAGAGTAATTATTTTCTTTTGATTATGGTAAATCATGGATGGTTCTTTGTACTTTTTGCTTCTATCAATTAAATGCTTATTGATGGCTTAAGTGTTTTCATTCATAGTATCAAGCTATCAATTCATAGTATCAAGCTATCAACCATATCCATGTAATGATGTAAATTGGCATACTTTTATTTCTAATGCGTTAATTGTTTGTTGACAAATTTTATTATTTTTTCTAACTTCATTTTCCTGTCACCACAGTTTGAGAGAAGATTTGGTGAACAGAAAACATGGCAGGGTATGTTACCGATTGATCTTCTAGAATTATATAATGTCTGATATTGATGTACAATTTGCACTATTTTGTTTCATGTTGTGAAATTAGATCTGTCTTCTGATTGAATAAGTTAGAGTTTGATCCATTTTCTACTTGTGGTTCTTACGACAGTGTTGCATCTATGAAAAACTATTATGTACACGTGTATTTGTTTATTATTCTTTCTTATTAGGTGAAATGCATCAAAATAAAACGAACTTTGTCTTAATTAGTATTTAGTGTAACAAGTTTATTTTTCTCAATCAATATAACGGAGTTTCAAAATAAGCCTATTTATATAACAAAATTTCAGAATCTCTATCAATGTAATGAAGTTTCAGAAAATTCTATGCAATGTAACATTTGGTGACGCGAATATCAAGTTTATTGTCCACGTTGCCCTAACAATTTTGTAGACATTTCGTTAGTGGGAACCACATCATGAAATGTTAGAAAATCAGTCGGTTAAAAAAGTTATTTGTTAACTAAATAGGAAGTAAACCAATCTTTGTTGCATTTTGCTGTGCTTATTAGTGCATTTTATAGTTTTTAAAATTCTTAAGCTCAATACTTTTGTTTCTTGCAGTGAAGAGGCTGTTATTCCAGTGGAGGCACCCGCCCCTGCTCTTGGTGAGCCAATGGATATCATGACTGCTTTGCAGCTTGTGTTAAGAAAGTCACTGGCTCACGGTGGTCTTGTGAGGGGGCTTCACGAGGCTGCAAAAGTGATCGAGAAACACGCTGCTTTACTTTGTGTTTTGGCAGAAGATTGCAACCAGCCCGACTATCAAAAATTGGTGAAAGCACTTTGTGCTGACCACAACGTGAGCTTAATTTCAGTTCCTGCTGCAAAGACTCTCGGCGAATGGGCTGGTGTAAGTCTTCTTATCATTTATTTTTTGTGCAAAATCCAAGTGTTGCTATTGGTGCCTTTGGTAGGCAGGAGTGGACTGGACATGACAGTACAAAAACTTGTCCCATATTTGACTTGACATTAGAATGAGACAGGACATGACTTGAGTGCCTAAGTGGGATAAAAATGCTTTTTTTTGGCAATACTATTTGCACTCCCTTTAATGTCATAATTAGGTCAAGTGGTGCATTGGGAATGCAAAAAGCAGGTTTTGATGTTGATGGTGAGAAGAAAATCACTTGACAGAGGTGCATTTAGCAATGTATTAGGGTGCAATTTGTCTCCCACTTGTGAATGGTGCTGAGATTGTATAGTTATAGGGTTTTATTCCAACACAATTGAATCCTTTTGATTTCCAAGTTACTCCCTCTCCCCCAAAATAGATGTGCACAATAAAAATTACACAATCTTTGAAATGTGTAATTATTACACTTTTTAATCAAGTAAATGACAATTTTATCCTGAATAATAGATGAAGTAATAAGTTTCTCATCCCATACTTAAGGGTACAATTGGAAAGTAGACACAAACTAGAGTAGAAATACGGACACTTATTTTTGGAGCAGAGGGAAGTATTTGATTTTTGTTAATGGGTTTATTGGAATTGTGAATTTGCAGTTATGCAAGATAGATTCAGAAGGGAAGGCAAGAAAGGTTGTGGGTTGCTCATGCCTTGTTGTGAAGGTACTTGTTTAATTATTAACCGCAAAAAACATCTGAGAATCCGGTTTAATTCCTCGATTTTGGCTCATGAATTCAATCTATTCTCGAACCTTTTTTTTCCAGGATTACGGGGAAGAAACCGAAGGTCTTCACATCATTCAAGAGTACGTTAAATCGCACTAAATTAATTTGCAACGGATCAAAAGTTAGTTTATTTTATGATTTTAAGCTTCATCTGTTTGGGAAAAACTGTGGTTTTACGAAATTTTGAATGGTTTTCAGCAGAGCATATCCTCTTCAAAGATCATTAGATTCTAAATATGGAGCTTCATCTTTTCTACTTTTTTTTGATTTGTTTGTGTGATGGTGTTTTATTGAGCCATGGACCAAAGGGTTTGACTTTTTTGACTCGAATTTTCTTGACGTTTTCGATATTTTAGGTCCCGTTTACCCAACGCTTACCTGGGTAAGCGCTTACCAATTCACTTTACTTTACCGGATGAATATAGCAATGACTAAAAAGCTTACCCGTTAAGAGCGAAAGCAAGAATCCTGAGTCTTACCCGGTAAGTGAGGACGAGGACACTTACCATGGTTAACGCTTACTGGGATAAATTGTCGCATACGATGTGTTTTAGTGGATAAAATCTTACCCGCTAAATAAACAATAGTGTTGAATTTTATCGGTAAGTGCTTACTGAGTAAGTGTTTAGGTAAACGGCCCCAATAAAAATCAATGATGATTGATTTTTGCCAAATGAAGTAGTTCACATTGATGGGTTTTGATTGAACTTGTGCTTTTGTTTTTTGCAACTTTGGGGTCCGTTTGGGTTCGAAATTTTTTAAGGGTTTTTGATTTGGGCCATTTGATATGCTTGATTTGTAGGATTTAGAATGGATTAAAATTTCATTTTCTGTAATAATCCATAAAGGCAAAATTATGATTAATTATGAAAATATATTTTTATTAATTAATTATATCATTTGTTTTGAAATAATTGTTCACAATTAAAACGGTACACATTTTTAAAACAAAAGTGTAATTATTAGATCTTTTAAATAACTAACTGATAGTTTTACCTTGTTAAGAGAAGAGTCTTTATGTAGATTCCTCAAAATTTCTCCAAAATGGAGAAGTACAAGTCAAAATCTTAAAACAAATTATATAATTAATTAATAAAAATCTACGTTTTCTGAAGATACTCTTAAATTTATAATAAAGAGTAAAATTGGAAAGTGAATTTTTTTTTAAAATGGACATTTATTTTAAGACAAATTAAACTAAAATTCACATTTAATTTAGAATGAATGGACTGCTTACCAAACACTTACCCGGAAAGCACTTACTGGTAAATTTACCATTATCATTTACTTACCATAAATTTAACATTATCATTTACTTACCGGATAAGATTTTAGTCCACCAAAACGGTATCGTATGCAACAATTTACCCAGTAAGCGTTTACCATGGTAAGAGTCGTCGTTCTCACTTACCGGATAAGACTCATGGTCCTTGTCTCGCTCTTATCGCGTAAAAATTTTGATTCTTACCATATTCATCCGATAAAGTAAAATGACTTAATGTTCACTTACTCAAGTAAACGTTTGATAAATGGTCCCGAAGTCTTACAAAATAAGTGTTTTAAACATGTTTTAGAACATTATTATAAATAAATTCGTTATCATTTCCTCTTCTTCAAGAATTCCTATTAGATATAATCACAAAACTTATCATAAAACTATGATTAAATATTTCGAGCCATTCCGGCATCTAATTTTTCAACCAAGCATATATTAAATGAGCATCGAGTTTGAAATCAAACATCAAGTATACATTCAAGCTCGAATCCTGATTTAAAAGAGTTATTTGTAAAAAAATTGAGTCCAATATTATTTTTTCTAAGTCGAGCTCAAACAATCTATTACATGATTCGTTCATTCACAACCCACAACCCTTGACATTGGGGATTAGAGCTGTAAACAAACTAAACGAACATGAACGGAGGCTTGTTCATGTTCGTTCGTTTAACTTAATCGAACAAACGAACAAACACGAACGGTAAACAAACAAAAATCTTTGTGTTCGTATTCGTTCGTTTAGAAATCAGGTGTGTTCGTATTCGTTTATGTTCGTTTGTTAACATGCTAAACGAACAAACATAAACGAATGGGCTAAACGAACATAAATAAATATCATTTGAATTCAAGTAAATAAACAAAAGATTATATATTAAATTTAATACATAAACGAATGGATATAAATGAACGAACATGACTCTTGTTCATGTTCGTTCGTTTAACTAACGAACAAAAAAAAAATTGTTCATGTTCGTTCATTTATTAAATAAACGAACATAAACGAACTTCCTGCCGAACGGTTCGCTAAACGTTCGGTTCATTTACAGCCCTATTGAGGAATGTGGAAAAACCTTTTATGAATTTTGTAGGCATTTTAAATTATCAAACAATATCTTGATTATTGGGTTTAAAGAAATATTAGGTTTGCAACCAAATTCCCTTCTCACCAAATTTTATGCACTCAGATTATGAAATCAAAGTTATGAACACGGAAACCATTTATACCAGTGGTTACACATTTTTAGCTAAGAACAGGTATAATCAGTTAAAAAACCGGTGATAACGAGTTTTTGCCAATCTATAATGTTATAGCCCCGAAAATCTATACCTTAATTCCTGTTCTTTAACATGATTAGCTTAAAAAGTATTTTTAAGGAATACTAAAAGCAAATTACCAGCAATGTAAAAAGTGGAAAACTACATTGTTGCTTTGCTTTCGGCCGTTGGGAAGTATATGCCCTCGGCTGCCAACCAGACGTTATCGGCCCGTTTCTCCCGTACACCGCAAACCTACAAAAATGCAAGAAAGAACCGGTTTGGGGTTTTTTAACGAATCCCGAGCAATGTTAATTCGTCACCAAATCTGAAAGATCATCATGATTTGGTTAACCAACACACTGGTTCGTTCCCATTTTCATGCCATGTTTGACAACCATAACGGCATATCTCTAACAGATACTTTTGACCTTTGGACCCAAGCTCAAACCAATCAGACACCACCCTTGTGGTTATAAATAATATTTTTTGAGTTCATTGAAAAAGCCTTTTTAATCCATCATAAGCTATAGTTTCTTTTTCTTCCAATTATGCCCCTTAAATTTTTCCAATTAAGTTTTTCTCGAGTCCTTTTATATTGTATATAGCTTATCAACTAGTTTTTTTTACCAAACATTACTAGTTTATCAGCCGGTTTTATTAAGCCACGCCTAACTTATCAACCAACAACTGGCTTATCAAGTTATCAGCTAGTTTGCAAAAGTATCCTAATCATACGAAGATGGTTCTAACCTCTTGCTGACCACCGGCAATTCGGCTGTATTTCTTATCATGGCTGTGTAGAAATCCACTTGTGTCGACATGACGAAGCCTTATTCTTTGATCTTGTCTCCATGTTTTCCCACTTCCCTCGATCTCAACTCTTTGAGAAAATAAACAATTTTCAGATGCAATGGCGAGCAAGATCGCTCTTAAGGTAGTTCTTGTATAAATTACAAAATAACTCCAAAAATAAAGAAAATAAAGTGACAGAAAGTAGGCCTCACCTCCAATAATCTCCGGTATCTGAATTGCCTTCATCTCCGAAGCAACTCACCTATAGAAAACCTCGATTAGGTTAAGTTGCAGTTTTTGACACGATATTTATGTGTGATCATGAACAACTACAATGTCGATTGTCGTATTCTTGAGCAACCATGAGTGTTAAAGGCCATTACCAACACAAACCTGCAAGACCGCGGTCTGGGTAAGAGGTTCGGGCTGTGTAAGCGTTGACTGTAAAAAGTTGTTTACCAAGTATTTTGTAGCAACCAATAATTTTTTTCGGGTAAGCACTCTGATTTGGTCAGTGACATATTGATGGTTGACTCGGTCAGCATCTCGGCCGGTCAGAAGTGTAGGTTTCCAACATCATCTCTAACCCCTTAGTTTTTTGTATTTTTTTAAGACACTAGTTGTTTGGATGCACAATGGTTTGACATGCTGATCACTCTCTGTACACGTGTATATATGATGGTAGACTTGGGATCATTTGAGACCAGCCTGTTTTTGTGAGAACCGTTAGACCACAAATAACACCGAACCTTCACAGGAAAACACTATGAAAATTCAAAAACACTGGACCTTCACAGCAAAAATACTGTAAAGGTATGTTTTTGTACTGCACAATGTTTTCGTTGTGAAGGTTCAGTGTATGTTTGGGACATCACAGCTGGTCTCACGTGTCTCACGAAAAGTCGAAAATGATCTCATCAGAACCCTAATGATTGTTTCTATGTGTTGCCAATTACACTAGCATATACCAATATACCATTCCCTGATTCAAAAAGTTATTCGATACTCGAATGTTTAATAAATTACATTAATTAATCAAAATACAGAAACCGTATAAAAATAATATTTTGAGGACAGTAAAGTAAAAGTTTAAAAAACATAAAATACAATAAATAAAATTTAAAGAATGAATAAAATGTAAAGAGGAAGGCTAAGAGAATTAAGCTTTATGTTGAGGTTATATTGGTAATACATAAGTCTGTTCCACCTTGTTCCATGGGGTGGGAGGTGGAACACGTCTGTTCCACTATGTTCCACATAAAAGCCCTGCCAAACGTGGAACAATGATCCATGGTCTGTTATTTCTGTCCAGTGTACCAAACGTATCCTAACAGATTTACTTGGTTATCAAAAGAGGACATGGAGAAAAAAGCTAGTGGCAAGACCTCCAAACATAAACCTATTTAGGAGCTTTCCAATGTTCAAATGGAGACAAAATGCCCACTATTCATGTATGAAGAAGAAAAAGTAATAACCGCAACTTTATTTGTTGAAGAACAAATAAGCAAAAGGCCGATCCACTCACCTCTAGGTTTCCTGATATTGGTGAAGCATGCAAATGGCTATGGAGCCATTTTCTAGTTTTCATGTGTTGCAATCGAATGATAGTTCCACCTTTTATGTTGTCTCCCTGTTTCACAGATGTCTCCAGCATAGGTCTAACAATCTGGCTTGTAAGAGACCAAATTGAAGAAAACAATCAGATATAACACACTGCAACAAAGTTATAGAACTTATAGCATCTTCAACACGAGGTTCTTATAAGCAAAAAGCGTAGGTTCTTATAAGAACTACCATTGGAGAGAATTCTTACAAATCACCCACATCCTTAGAGTTCTTGTACAAGAACCTTGGTTCTTCCCTTGAAGTTAGGCATGAGAATGGGGAGGGGACTATGATCACATCGGAGAACGGGGAATGTGACCACATCCCCATCCCCGGGGATCGCCAACAGGGAATCGGGGATTTTTTTCCCTATTTATGTGACATTTTAAAATCAAATGTGTTAAAATCACACTCAATCGATAATGGTCCATGTTTGAATCTCACATATTTCCAAAATTTTGATTTTATGTAGTATCAAATATTCATACGTGAACAAAATCACAACATCATACGTAATTGTTTGATCAAACGCTTTCGGCTCTCCACGTTTTTTATCATAACAATTAACAACAAGACAACTCCGAAAAAATGTATATAAGAAGAAAGGTCAAAATACTATTTTTAAATCTAAAAAATATTAAATCTAATTCTTTATGAATAAATATATAATATATTTAATATACGGGGACGGGGAAGGGACCATGTTACCCGTCCCCGGTCCCCGGTCCCCAGTTTTGCGGGGAATCCCCATCCCTGTCGGGTACACAAGGTTCCCCAATGGGTTTAGGTTTCATTCTCATGCCTACTTGAAGTTTATGTGAAATGACATTTTATTAGTTTTTTGTATGTTTATTTACTTCTATATTTATAAATATATAATAAGTATTGGTGTTGAAAAAATACATGGGACCCACAAAAGCGATTCTCATAAGAACTACCATTTTGGAGTTTTATGTAGGTTCTTAATTTGGTGAGTTGGAAATGATCCAGCAAGAAAAAGTATAAAAAGTGGGTTCTTATAAGAACCTCCATCGGCGCTCTTAAGATCAAGTAAACTGAACATATAAAATAGACATGAAAAACATGAACATACCCAGTAGCTATTGGCATCATCCACATTTGGAAAACCAGTAACAGATTGCTGCCCACTGCCAGATCCATATGGCACATCATGTGAGTGTAGTCGGAACTTTGTCTTTTCATGCATCAACTTGATGACTGACCCATAAGTAATCTATCACATATTGAGATCCAAGAAGTGAGAATAACACAAACAAATATGCTTGTGCAACTTTTTGTAATATGGTTTCACTAGTGATTTTAATGAAACACCTTCCTAAGGATATACAACGCATGTTTTCCACCATTGTAATTGGAGGGCTACTGTTTGCTGAGGATTTACTGTTGTTGCTTTTGGTTCTTCATTAGTGGCGATTTCCAGGGGTTATCATCTCAAATGACCAGCTCATGAAAAAAAACATTTACTTTATACACACCTCACATGTTTTCTCACATAATAACCAAGAAACCACAAGAAAAAGTGCCTTGCAGCGTTTACTGCAAGGCATTTTTCCTTGCAGTTTCCCAGGTTTTCTGATCCATCCACTGAAAAAGTGGGCCCACAACAAAAACCAACAAAAAACAGCAAGTTACGGTATCGTAGTCCCTTGCATCTAAACACAAAAAACAAGCCAAAGTCGCAGGCTGCAAAACTGCAAGGCTATCAGCTTGCGAAACCACAAGAAAAATTGCGGTTTCTTGGTTATTTTCTAAGAAAAATTGTGAGGTAGCTATAAAGTAAATGTTTTTTTTCCGTGAGCTGGCCTTAGTAAGGCTAACATCAAACAACCGAAGTACCAATTATGCTAAATCCTAACATGGAAATATTATAACACTTGCAAATTTCCGGTTCATCCAACCAATTCAAATCAAAAGTTAGAAACCTAAATGCAAAGCACTGGTTTTTACCAATCGAAACGAAACCAGTTCAATCACTGAACATGATAATATCACCCCCTCGCCTAAAAAATACAATGTTAGATACGTAAGATAAAGCAAACGCATTACTTTTCCAACTACAAATCGATGAAACTTTTTTTTTCTTTTACAAATTGGATGCAGACAATTTCCGATTTGGTCAATTTGACCCTACTGTTTATCTTCTTTTTCCTTCTTACAGAATGTGAAAGAGTTCATCCACAAATTGACTTGAACTCGATCAATTTAAGTGTTATGAACGTGTCTAACACGCCTGGATTAGAACTAAAACTGAGAAAAGGTATGAGAAAATGTCGCTTCAGAGTTCAGATCTGAGCTCAACCCTATAATTTCCTGAATTCATTCGAGATTGATATAGATTTTGTTACAAATTTCATGGTTCCTGCACAATCTTTTAATTTGGTTTTTTCCAATGTAGTTGCAGCATTTTCCTCAAATTTAGTCGATCCATTTCAATTTTGGAAACTGATGTTCTTTCTGGGGGGAATTTTCAGTTACGTGTAATAAAATTATCAAAATCAAGCGGTAAACATTAAGAACAGACAAACTATATTCGTAACTAGATCATCAAAAGCTAAATACCTCGACGCCTTCGGAATTAGCAGCATATACAGAAGATGAAGTGTAATCCGAATCTAGCGTTAGGAAGAGAACGATAGCGAGACCGAAAAAAGATAACGCCATTGCGAATAGAAGTACGATGAACCAAGTCCGTTGCCAAACCGGCAAGTCAAGATCCGATTCCGACGAAGACGACGGCCGGAGCGTTTCTCTGTAAATGATCCGTGTAGGTCCCGACGGCGACGGACGCGAAGACGATGAACTAGACGATGCGGTTCTTCTTCGAGAAAGGTTGTTGTTGCTCTGTTGCCCTGACGGTGACGGAGGAGCCACGACTGGAGTTGTTCTCAGGTCGGAGCCTCCGGCCAAATATACGAGCTGCCGACGGAGTATACACCGGCGGAAACAGAGAGAAAGAGTGTGTGTGTGTGTGTATGTGCGCGCTTTGTGATTTCTTTGAAGAACATGGAAGTCCTTCGAGTTTTGACCACGGATTCTTCAATGGCGGTACCACGTAGGTTACAGGCGTTAAACGAATAGCAGAGATCCACGTGGGAGAAATGTGTCACCTGGAATGCTGACTGGGATAATGCAAGGGTAGTTTCGTCTTTTAAATCTTAAAGTTACATCTTACCCCCTCAACTTTAATCATATGCTTCTTACACCCAAAACGATGGATTCTATCACAGTAATCACATGTTTATGTTATAGAGGTAATTAATTCAAGGTTTACTTATCACATGTTTATCACTCTTTGAATTAGGGTTGTATCACAGTATATAAGATGATTATAAATCATTGTGTGCAATCGATTAGGGTTAAAAATCACGGTATCACCGCCGACTTCACATTTAGGCATGACAATGGGACGGGGATGTGACGTGTTTTGTAATCCTCGTCCCCGACCTATTTTAGCAGGGAATCCCCGTCCCCGTTCGAGTCGGGTGAGCCGAGTTCCTCAACAGGTCGGGGCAAATCACCATCCTTATTCACATTCTTTCATCACAAGAATATCACTGTCGATTAGGTTTGAATCACAGCATCACAGTCGATTATCACAGTATCACAACCGATTTCACATTCTTTTATCACACAAAATTAAGGGCTAGTTTATCACACTGATTTGCACACTCGAAGTTATCACGTTAAAAGTCGATTTCACAAGAATATCACGGTCGATTATCACCTGTTTATCATGGCCGATTTCACATTCCTTTATTACAATAAATTAGGGGATGGTTTATCACACCGATCTGCACACTCGATGTTATCACGTTAGAAGTCGATTTTCACAAGATTATCACTGCACACTCAATGTTGACACGTTAGAAGTCGATAATCACCTGTTTGTCACAGTCAATTTCACAAAATCGAATCTTCAGATACATAAACGATGAAAAGAAAACATTGGGGTCGTGATCATTATTCTAATATAAAATTATGGGATAATTACAATTAATTAAAATAACATAAAAATTATGACAAATACATTACATTACTACCCTTATCAATTTATTTTTATTTATTATATTAGTAAAAAATGTTAGAGAGCCACAACTGTTTTCGCATTCTTCTAAATCACAAGAGTTCTTGAACTCCTGTCTATATATGTGTGTGTGTGCACTCTTTACAAATTGCAAACTGGACACTTGAAAAAGTATCGACTTAGAACCAGTTAAGACAATTAAACGCTTTGTTGATCAACCATTTATAGATGTATACATATTTACACAATCTTATACTTGTCACCATTTTTTTAATCTTGGTTAAAAGATTTTCAACATAAATGGTAATAAATAGCCATAACAAAGAAAATGAAACAAGCTTTACGGGTTAGCTCGGCTGGTAATAAGGTTAGATCACAGGTTCGAGTCCTGTAACAGCAAGACCACTAGAAATTTTTCTGGCTGTTCTCCAGGACCCCTGGAATTAGTCGAAGTGCACATATATGTAGACTAGCCCAGACACCCGCGGTTAACAAAAAGAAGAAGCAAGCAAATGCAAAATGGTTGTAAAGAATAACATCTCACAATCATCATCATCATTTTCATCATGTAATTGTATACCCCTTTTAATCTACAAACCTTAATACAACAATTTGTACACATACCTTCTTCTTTCCACATCCTACTCACCCGATAAACTCAATTCATCCATAACCCTTCCCAACCCATTTCCGTCATCCGATCCCAATCCCGACCCCGACCCCGACCCATTCTCACTTTTCTCTTGTACACATTCGGAAAACCTGAAGCAACTAATCAGATGGTCGTTTGTAAGCCCTCCCACTTGTAGAAATGAGTAAACGACCGTGGGACCCACGCCTCGAAAACCCCTTTTGACCAAATCTTTGCTTATTGACTCGGCTTTGGATGTCTTGATTGGTACTTGGCGAGAGTAGCGGAATTTGTTCACTATAGGCTTGTGGTTTATGAAGCCCCATATGTACTTGTCAAAGGATCCAAACTGATCGGCTATCTGCACCATCGACACAAGAAGCAGAAAGATCAAACCCGATGCATTATATGTTTCTAATCTATATAAATTAATCTAGATTTTAGAGTGTTAATTTTATATGGATAGTTTAGTAATTTACTAGTCTTGTCTCATCTCCTTGATTTCTGTTACGTATTTTTGGTGGTTTTGTCCCACTCAATCTTGTTTTGTCTCGGGGGATGTAAACTAAACACTTACCTGGTAAGTGCTTACCGGGTCATTTACCTTACCTCATGAACATGGCAAGGGCCGAGAATCTTATCCGGCAAGAGCAATGATAAGGATGGAGACTCTTATCCGGTAAGTGAGGGTGATGAGGTAAATTGTTGCGTACGATACCGTTGATGGAGTACAATCTTAACTGATAAAGTAAGGGGATGTTTACTAAACGCTCACCTGATAAGTGCTTACTAGGTCATTTACCTTACAAGGTGAACATGACAAGGGCCGAGAATCTTACCTGGTAAGAGGGAGGATAAGGATGGAGAGTCTTACCCGGTTAGTGATGGTACGTGAGGATGACGACTCTTACCTGGTAAGCACTTATCGAGTAAATTGTTGCATACGATACTGTTTTGATGGACTATCATCTTATTTGGGAAAGTAAGTTAGAGTGTTCGAGTCTTACTCTTAAGTGCTTACCAGGTAAGTGTTTGGGTAAACGGCCTCTAAATTATAGTGTTGATTGTTGAGTCTTACAAGGTAAGCGTTTGGGTAAATGGCCCTTCAGTCTAATGTTGCACCTAACGTACCTCTAATGCTAAGAAAAAAATCGACCATAACTGCTATCTCTAGCGTTAGCAGAAATTTTTAACAAGCAGAAAATGATTTGTCGGTCACCAATAAAAAAGAGCGAGAGATACCTTGCAAACTTGGCGTGCATTTTCAATAATTCCTCGTAATTTCACCTCTGAAAGAAGGGAAGTCGCAGGGTTTCCTGGTACTGCAATTTTCTTATCATTCAATTTCGAGACAGCAACAGGGTCGAATTCATGAAATACTTCTCTGTGTACACACATTTCATTTCAAATTAGTGAAATACATTGCACAGCATAAGAGAAATACTCATCCCGTCACAAAATAAGTGTCCATAATTATATTTTAGTTTGTCCCAGAAAAAAATTCTCGAGTTTCAAAAATAATCGTCAACTTTCAAATTCTACCCTTAATTATGTTTAGGAGAAATCCATTACTCTCTATTTTTTAGCAAAAGGTTGATTACCAGCCACCCCGACCGCCCCACACAGAACCCGCCCCCTAGGAACCACATGCGAGGAAGCATTTCAGAGCTGACTCAACGGCTGAGGCTAGCGGAGGGTTCAAGCCCATCTCACGGTGGATTCGAACTTGAACCTGTTGCGTATATGAGCAAAGTCGCTCTCCCCCAATACCCTTTCTATTATTAAGGGTAAAATTGTCATTTATTTTGGGACAGACGGAGTATTATGCGATTCATATGTAATATTTATTCCTTTCAAAAAAGACAATGTGCATCATACCTAAACAAATGCCTTTTGTTGAGAATAGTGGGCCATGTGAGTTCAGCCAATGCAGTGGACAAACTGAGCAATTCAAACAATTTCCTGAAAGATTTCATTTGGAGACAAATACAATTTGATGATTAGATAACTGATTTAGAATTTATTTAAAAATGATAAGATGCAAAAGAGATCTTCTGGCGCATACTTGTCATCGTGTACCGGGACTCCCCATTCTTCATCATGGAAAGCAGCATAACAAGGATCTTCAAAAAGGAAACAAATACAAATCAGGAGTTGTTATGGAGAGGATTATATATGCAAAAATAAAAATAAATTAGAAACAGATGTGGCTTTAAAACATGACGCATTTGAACACCACAGAACAAAATTGACCTGTAAGGTTGTGTTTGGTACACAGGATGAAACGAGACATGAGAGAGAAAAAAAAACTTGTTGTCTCATGTTTGACGCAACATTAAACTTGGCCGGTAAATGACTTGAGTAGAACAAAAAATGCTCTTTTGACAGCAAAATAGGAGGAACAAAAATCAGAGAGATGGGACAGGATTAGTAATTTACTAAACTACCCATGTTAAATTGAAACCCTATAACCTTTCTAATTCAGTGCTATGAACTGGAATCTAAATCAGTAACGAACAGATAATGAAGATGAAAACAGACTAATCAGATGATTACTTAAATGGAGAACAAGGTAAACTCTAGCATTTGAGAGACTAGCACTCTCCCATAACCACACATTAAGTTTCTCCATGCCTCCCTATGACCAGACCCACTAATTTATACTACAAGCATAATAGGATTATTCTAGATTATCCTCGGTATGACCCAAAGTCCCCTTCTGCTAACAGAATAATTCCCCAAAAATTACTAAAACACCCCTTCTAACCTCTTCTAGAATCTATAAGGTAATGATGGGCCAGGCTTTGGGTCAATGCATAACATCCAGTCCCATTTTGTCCTGTCCAGTCCGTGTATCAAAAGCACCCTTAATTAGTTGGGAGATGATACTTCCAATATGGAACACAATACGTCTTTCTGATGAAATACTTCAGCTCAAGGGGATTTGTCAATTTTACGAAATTATTTTCCTAAACTAAACCGATTTGAGAGAGTATACAAAAGAACGATGTGTAGAGAAGCAGTGCTCGGTCAGCATTGGAAATAGTCAACCAGCAAGCTTAGGCACTTATCAGCTTGGGCAACAATTAAGCAACCTCGTGGCTTTCTAATCTTATTTTGTAACCATCGGTGTCCGGGCCAGCTTCATGCACCTCAACTAATCCCATGGGGCCCTAAAGATAACAGCAAGGAAAATCCCCTGTGGGGCCTAAGGAAACTTGAATTATCAACCTATGGGGAGAAACCTCAAGGCCTTTGTTTGCCAGTTGAGCTGGCCCTCAAGGTTTGGCTTTCCAATCTTTTTGCAGGCTTTCTGATAGTTATGATGAGCAATTGAAAGAATGTGAGACCCATTTAGATATAACTTTCCCTTTATTTGACCAACGCAAATTTGCAGAAATTGGGTATACATGAATGGAAAGTTGGAACCTTTATATCCATATAACTATACAGCATAAACACCGGTTATTGACAGTCTCTGTTTATAGGTTCAAATTTGAGCAAACCCCTAACCCTAATATCACTAAAAAGCCAACAACGAAAATAGCAGATCTTACCCCGCATTTTTATTGAAATCACAGTCAATTAGTGCGACAAATAGTGGTACCCCAATTGGTCACAGTGATTTTGCAATATGGTAGCGGTCAACCACCATAACCACGATTGACTGCCCAGTGAGTATAAGTCAAAACATCCTTAAACTATGACACTATCTTTTACGATTCGGAGAGACTGTCAAGAGTTATCAATTGGACTCGAACAGACTAGTAAGGAAAGACATGAAAGCTTGCCCCCTTTAAAAGGAGATACACTTGAGTGTAGAAAATTAAATGTGTTATGTTTAAAAGTGTTGCAAAAACAAAAAATTTGAGAAAAATTCAACAACCACCATAAGTTTCCAAGTTACAAATTGAAAATGTTTACGAAAATTAGTGATAACATCCATACCCACCTTTTTTGTTTGCAAAGTACTAGGTTTAATATCAAAAAGATAACATGTAGCTCTTCCTCTGTAAGAGGGAGTGCATGTTACTTAAGTTTCTCAGTCTATGATGAATATGTGAAGAGAATTGCTTCATATTCTATTCAAGGACCATTGATCATCTTCCTGGTTTTTAGGCTTATAAAATTCTTCAAAAGTTCTAATTTTGGCAGCCACCCGCTAAAAGGAAAGGTTGCGAGCAAGACTACTAGTTGCAAAGAAGTTCCCACGACTCAAACCAGTGACCTTTGGGTCACAAAACATCTTATTGGATGCTACAATTAGAAGGTAAGATAATTAAAGATATGGATAGTAATAACAAAGATGAAGAGAAATACCATATTGGGGGAGAGAGAGGAGAGCAGAAGATTGGCATCGTGACTAGATCCATGAGGCTTAATCTATGCTTTAATTGCAAACATTAAGAGCAATGTGCTATTTGGTGTCCTAGCTGCTTTCTTATGTCCCATCTTAACAAGTGATACAGGTTCTTTGGTTTTTATCGGAAATAAATTCTGATGTAAATATCATCGCATTACAATCTCTACTTATTTTGGTAACCTCTACTTTAAGGTCTTAAAAATGATATGTAATAAGTTTTACAAAAAGGAAAAAGAAAAGCACGAGTGGAAGGATCCAACAGTCATAGATGGAGGACTATATCCAGCTTGTATAGTGCAAGCCAGATGCATATTGTAAACAGAACTTCAGTCAATCAGGTAGATCCTTTTATAGGCCCATCGACTTATATAGGCCCAGTTTCCAAATTATGCATAGGTGTTCATTACCCATGCTTACTATCATAAGCCTGCTGCATTCTCTAGGAAAAATACAGCAAACATAACTAACGATGTAATGGATTTATTAAGCTTCCATCAAGAAGCATCTTTAAAGAAGCACACAAACTAGGAAACAAGCTACATACTGAAATATGCATGCACAAGACAATTCCTCGGTAAACTTGATAACCGAAGATAACTGCAAACTGCACAGTTATTAATACAACCAACCATAAAATGACGATTGAATATATGCCAAGTTTTTTGGAGTGAGAACAAATGGACATGCATCATGGAGGCCGCAGAAAATAGCCATAAAACTAAAATATAAAGAGGAAGTCAATAAAACAAGACGTTAATTAATTATGGCTGTATCGTAATTTGTAACTCCCAGATAGACACTTTTGCCACGGAAGGGTCCTTGTAGAAGGAAATACTGGGTCATATTTTGACACTAGCAAGATACGACCAGAGCTTTTTGTGGTGCCAGTAGGGAGTTATAAAGAAAGATATTTTGGGTGAATCCGTTGCAGCTCCTTTCGAGGGCATTTTGATGTAATTATGAGGAATAGAGAGGGCAACGGTAACAAAAACCACCGTTAACAATGTTTCTAGAACAAGTAATAGCATAGAAGAGGAAAAGGGAAATTAACAGAAAAGATGCTTCCCACAAGTAACAACAGCTCTTTTCAGCATTGTCATTATGAAGGGTTGATGGAATTAATGGTTTTCACCTTTGTAGCATGCATTTTTAACATAAAACATAAACAAGAAGACGATATAAGTCGCACGAATTTTCCGATAAAACTGCTTTCCTAAAGAATTATAATATATATATATGTGTGTGTGTGTGTGTGTGTGTGTATTCTAGGCCTTGCGAATGATAACTTTGTTATATTTGCCACTTGGTCATCGCAATATCAGAATGAACAGCAAAGAAGGTAAATGAGTAAAAATTTCATCCAAGGCCGACTCCTCTTCCAATTCATTCAAAGAAAGGGAGAGGAAAAAGATAGTACATGAAGACATTTCTAGCTTTGAGCTTACTTTAAAACACGTATTTTATCTTTTTATGTCAGCAAAGGTAATGATAAACAGCATAAGCAATTCCAGTGTGCAAGATCCTTAATCATATAATTAACCAGTTATAGACTATACATACACTACATAACAAAATTTGAAAAACATAAAATGCAGAATACCCATATATACAAGTGCTTGCTCGTAGCCTCGTAGGTTAGTATGAATGATGCAATCCTTGACCATCAGAATTTACAAAAGGGAAATATTCATGCCTTCAATATCCTGCAAGAGGTCAAACATGACAACTATGTGCCTCAAATATCCTAAAACATAATATAATTTTCCACCATGTTCCTGAATTACTTCTTGGACCAGGCATCTCACTATGATACGAGGGATTTATCAAAGAATCTTCGATTGACAATATAGCAGCCAGTATTCTTTGTGAAAATTTCAAGAGACGTCTGTGGGCATGAGTTCCTATGAATGCATCACCCTTATTTTAAGCATTGACATATATTTACACCGCCGATGGTTTGATTGTTTCATTATCAATTCATAATATTGAAGTACAAAATGTCACTATGGCGCAACCAGGTACAAGGCAACAAAAACCTAGCATGTAGAGATTCTCAAAATGCTTTACATAACAGCAAATGAAGGACCGATTAACAAAATCAAAAGGTGGTTATCACGATCAACAAATAACACAAAAGGAGAAAGAAAGGCATCCATATTAGTAGGAAACTTTATGAAGTGACACATCCGAGTATAGAAATAAACTTTATGGGTGATGTAATTGAGTTCCTTGTAGACGGAAAATTTCTTGTCGAAACCGACTAAGAAACAATGGGTCAACGATCACTAACGATCGACTTGGGAACTCCATGATGACGAACCACTTCCCGAACAAAGATCTCGGCTATTGACCTTCCTGTATATGGATGTTTTAAAAGAATGAAGTGGCTGTATTTCGAAAGACGATCTACCAACACTAAAATCGCATCAAAACCTTTAGATTCAAGTAAGCCCAAAATAAAATCCATTGAGAGATGTTCCCACACCATATCCAGAATGTCCAAGGGCTGCAAAAGATTCAGAAGTTCCTCTACTGGGCTGGAAAACGTGCTTTTACTTGGTCGAATCATACCAAGATTCAGAAGTTCCTCTACTTGCTTCTCAATTTCAGCCTTTTGAATGTGGGGATACCTATACAGCCGCACACAAATTGGTTCATGAGAATTGATTAAAGAAATTATGTGATCGTGAGCACACCGTGAAGGTAATCCTGTTGGATCCTGAAATACAGCTGAAAAACGGTCAAACAAGGATTGTAAATCTTGTTGTTTTGCTAAAGATAACTCCTTTTGTTCGTTTTGACCAGACGAAATAGTACTCTGAAGACAGGCCTAAGAAGGATTGTCTAGTGACAACCACAATTGAAGAGAAGCTTGAGAGACCTGTACTTTAGGTAAGCCTTGGATGCACACTGATTCCTCTTGGAATACAAATTTCATGGAAGATTGTGCCCAGTTATGGATCACCTCTCCCAAAGTCTTAAGCCACTCCATGCCTAAAACCATGTCCAAATGCCCCATTTCAAATACCAAAGCTTCCACCTCGAATTCACATGTCCCCACTCGTACTTTAAGATGCGTACAATGTTGACTAATAAAGATTTTGTGGCCATCGCCCACCTGAATGTTGATGCCATCGAAAAATTCCGAAGATAACCCTAACACAGTCACCAATTTTTGTGAGATAAAATTATGCGTGACTCCACTGTCCATCAAAATCACCACTGAAAACTTGCTATTGCCCCCTCAAAACTTTAAGATTTTGCCACCAGGTGGCGAATCAGCAGTAGCACCCAAGAATTTCGAGGCCATACATAATCTTGTTGGAGGAATTTCCTCCTCTTTAGTGTCTGGTGCCTCTATCGTCTCCAAGGTCTGAAGCTCGCCGTCCCCATCTACAGATTCATCGTCTCCCAAGAGAAGACTTTGTAATTTCCCTTCGGGACATTTGTGACCAAGATCAAATTGATGCCCACAATGGAAACACAAACCTTTCTTACGTCGCTCCTCCCATTCTGTAAGAGTAAGAGACTGAATACCCGATTGCGATTAAACAATTGGCCATAGTCCGATGAAGGAGACCCAACAATACACGGATTTGGAGGCATACGACCTAAACCATTGCATGTAAGTGGGTTTATTCTCACTGGAAAGAGAACTATTGGGCCCTTTGTTCTCATAATGGCCCAAAGGATTGGATCTGAAATCCGATTGGAAAGAGAAGCCCAACCCACCTCCTGCTTGGGGGATTGGGAAATATTCCCGACAGAAGGTCGAAGCATCTCTTTGATATCCTTAGCGAGATACATGGCATCAAGACGAGACTGAGGTCAATGGAGACATACCCATCGTTTCAATCATCTCGTAAACCCGCAATAAAGTAACCCAGGGTCTATGTCTCAGGTAATCGAGGTACCAAAGATAGCAAATATTCAAAATCATCTATATAATCGTGAATAGAAGATACTTGTTTCATCGTAGCCACTTGTTCGTGCGGATTATGAATCTCCAAATCGAAAATCGTTGGAGTAGTTCGACGGACAACTGTTCCCACATAAGGGAATCGTAAATTTGTCTCACAACCGTGAACCAGTTTTGGGCTACACCCACCGTACTTAATTGAGCAAGAGGAATTCGAAGGTGAGATGTGTACCATGGCTGTCAAAGTATAATTTTGCTTTCTGAATCCATCCCTGAGGATCGAACCCATAGAATTCAGGCAATTTTACTTTATTCGCCGCCTATGGTAACAAATCGGAAGAACCCAATCGTGGACTAGAAGTGCGTGAGTTATCTCCTTGTTGTGGTGACAAAACCCCCTGAGGATTCTGTGGAATTGGGGATCCATTGGAGGCCCCAGACGGTCCTCCAATTTCAAGGTTGAATTGAATACCCTTTTGTTTCACCCATGCCATAAGCATCTTATGAAAAAATTCAGCTTCCTCCGCTCGCTCTGATTCCCACGCTTAAATCCCCACTTTGATTTCCTAGATATCCGATTGCAACCTTTGAATTTGTTCTTCGTGTTGCTCCAAGAGGTTCAAATGAGATCGAGTTTCCATGGGTTCCACATAGCAGGACAAGGCAGGTCGTACCAATGACGAGAATCGACAAATTAAATGAAGGATATTGGATATCTATGATTGAAATTGAAAGGAATTACAATAATGGAAAATGAACTAGAGAATCCTCCCTCTCTCTGCGTACTAATGCGAGAGCTAATAGAAACTTAGGAAAACATTCTCTACTCTCAAAAACGTTATACCTCCCCTCTATTTGGAGGTGAAAGTTCTCTCCTCTAACCAAATTCTAGCCACTTTCCTTTTCTGTCCTTTTGAGCCTCCTAGAGTATACTTTTAGAATACTTGGTTTATTCTTATTATGGTCCAGTCCAACCAAATCCATAACATAGTTATAGTTAGTTAAAGGTGATCTACATTCTACATTATCCAACTCAAGTTCTTCACAGGTTCTCCAATCTCCCGTGAGAAAATAATCTACAACCTAATTCTTGAATGACTAAACAACCAAATGCTACTAGATAGGTTTGCTGTCACTATATCAGATAGCATAGGTTAAATGTAGACCACTAAATTCCATTTTCCAATTACCTTTTTCCTAATTTTAGTACATCATTTAAACTTTGTGAGTTATGAGTTACGACGATGAGTTATGACAGAAGAAAGCATCGTCATCCGATAATAGAGTTACAATATGACCGCACACATACTCCTTTATTGTTTTCCTTTTCAGAAAATTCTTGGGCTAGAAATTAGTGGGGGTCTACGATTAAAGGAAGAATCCACTATATGCAATAGTTCATGAAACACCAGCATTCGTAGCTGATAGCGTAGCAGCCTAAGACAATTTCGGAGTAATCAAAAATGCATTTATCCATTTCATTTTTAAATAATAATCTCTAGTTGAGCATAAGAAGCAACTGAAAGACCTAATTGGTCCGAACTAAAAGAGCACCTTCACATGCTTATGATTTCCAAATTTAAATATGTCCATCATCTCAAAACTGCAGTTTTATAGGAATCAAAGTTAAGAAAAAAATCATTAGTAGCTCTAAACAATTTGGTTACCTTGCCTCAATTGTAAGTTATAGCAATCTAGGTATTCCAATAGAAATTGCAATACATACAGGGCTAGTTAAACAGGTTAAAAAGCTCAAGTTTAGAGTCATAACCATACCGGTATTAGCTGTCACCCAAGCACATCTCTTCCGCCCTGGTGAAGCATCAGATGAAGCCTCCAAAGAACTATCAGTCTCCACAACAACATTTTCAAGTTTTTCACCTCTTGGAAAACTCTCAACTTTTCCTGTTTTTGAAACTGTTTTCAAAGCATTCTCAAGCTTTCCGGTTCTCGAAACAGCAGATTGCTTACCACGAAACGGTGTAGGTGTCACACTCCGTCGACTAATCTTCCCAGTAGACGCTCGACTGTGTGAAGAATCGGAAGAGGCGTCCGATGAGCATGACGCATTCATCGGCAAATTCGACTTCAGCAGCTTAGAATCCTTTTGTCTCAAAATCGACGGCGGAGGAGGGGTTATTGCTTTAGAATGCAAAGCCGAATTTGCAATAACCGTCACCGGCGAAGGAGATTTCTTAACTTCCCCCGGTTTTCCTACTTTACTCTTAGGTTTCGCAGCCGGTTTACGCAATTCCACCACCGATCTCGTCTTGTTTCCGGCAGGCCCCAGCACTGGTCGTGATTCTGAATCAGCACAATCCATCACCAATTTCACGACTCGCGGCGGCTCCGACATTCAAGAAACAAGAGTTTAGTTAAGCAAAAAATCTGCTAGGGCACAGAAATTAACGATTCAAGAAATTTCACGTAGATTTGGAAGCTCATGTGGATAAATGATCGAAATGCACCAATCAAACCCCTATAATGAGAGCACAGATCAAGCAGTGAACTCCACGGCGCCGGCGACGTCGAGTCGGAGCTCAGTAGTCGAGGAAGGAAAGCAAGGACGGCTGAGATGTTTCTAGAAGGGTCGGAGTTAAGACAAGCTCTAAAAATCCAAATTGAATTCGATTTAAAAATAAAATTATAAAGGAAAATTTTGAGTTTCTATGCTCAACAATGTTCTATATGTCAAAAATATGCTCCAACATTTGACATTTGAAAATCTATGCTCCGAGGTCACATTCTATTTAAAACATTCTTTTTTCTCTTAAATTCTTTCATATGACTGAGACCTCTCCATGGCTTCTCTTTACCCTCCATTCTGTCTCTCATTGCAAACCCCTTTGTCAAAACATCCTTCGCTCCAGTTGTATTTAATTGTTGTAACTAGGGGTGTTCATGGGTTGGGTTGATCGGGTTGAAGACATTTGAACAACTCAACCTAATGTTTGCGGTTTGGAAAAATCTTAACCCAACCCGTATGGGTTGGTCGGGTTGATACTTTGGTATGTTAAAATATTATTCTAATCTTTAATATGTTATTTCTCTACTCATAATTTCTTTTTCATCATCAACCATTTGATACAACTTATTCATATTTCTTACATATATCACATTCAGTTAATTTTCTCAATTTACATATATATGTTCAGTTACTGAATATATATACGAATGAGTTATATAGATATGTGAATAGATTGAAAATATGTATATATAGAGCATACATAATAGTGTAATTGTCTAATGTATATATTAATAAAAATTCAACAATTATATTAAATCCAATAAATAAAAGGATATCGGGTTCATCGGGTTGGGTTAGGTTCAAATAATAGTAACTTGATATCAACTCAATACATACGGTTTGACAATTTTACAACTCGATTAGACATCGGGTTGCTTCGAGTTGGGTTATTTCGCGTTGTGTCGGGTTGGGTTGGTCGGGTTTTTGAGCACTCCTAGTTGTAATTTTATCTGCTTCTCATCTTTACAGATTATGTGTTTCTTCTCTCTCTCTCTCTCTCTCTCTCTCTTTGTCTCACCGTCTTTTTACAAATTATTTCTGTGTTGTGCCGGGTTGGGTTGGTCGGGTTCATCGAGTTGGGTTGGGTTCAAATATTATCAACCCAAAACCTATGGTTTGATAATTTTACAACTCGATTAGACATCAGGTTGCTTCGGGTTGGGTTATTTCGCGTTGTGTTGAGTTGGATTGATCGGGTTGGTCGGGTTTTTTAGCACCCCTAGTTGTAATTTTATCTGCTTCTCATATTTACAGATTCTGTGTTTCTTCTCTCTGTCTGTCTATCTCACCGTCTTTTTATTAGAGTTTTCTTTTTCGTTCATTTGATTTTTTTAAATATAAATATAATATTTGAATGTTTGATTAGAAAAAGTGAATGTATTTCATGTTTCATATGATCATCATGACCAAAAGCGCCCGACAACCATGAATACTCAGTAATCACCCTCTTCTTCCCAACATACAGTATAATAAACAAATAAATTGACCCCTGAACATGATTGCAACGAGACAGGTTAAAATTTTGCACTGTTGTGTTAGAATCACAACAAAAACTGCTTTATGCATTTAGATTGCTCGATGAAACATAAAAGGCATCAAACGTCATCAAGCACCATTACACATAAACTATAGAAAAACTCATAAATCAAGAAAATCACAAATAAACCATGAAAAGTACACAGTAATTTATCGTAACGCCCTTAAATCTAGAGAGAGCGGTTAATTAGATTTTTCCGATCATACATTAAATAAAGAATAAATTTCTTTCTATAAATTAATATTTTAATTAACATAATAAGAGAAACTAGATTTAACATCAACAATAGGTAACCCAAATCTTACATCGAGAGTAGCGCAATGTCAGGTGTTACTAAAACCCAACAACAATCGCCATCTTCAAATGCGGAAGACATCACTTCGTCACATCAGCATGGTAACCGGTTAATGGTTCGATCGATTACCCTAATAGTTAAATGTTTAAAATTTTACATCTTATGTACCAAAAATAAGTTTTCAAGGTACGTTACAAAAAATAGGAATTAAGTTAAAGTACGTTATTTTTTTATGCAATTTGCCTAATATATTATTCCACTAGTTAAATATAGAAGCATATTTTTGCAATACTTAAGTAATCAAATCCCTTTAAGCATATAAACTCAAATGTTCCCATTTTGAATTTTAAAATCTGTCTCGTGTCACCTTTTGAAACGACCAGACTGGAAAGGGTTTGTTATATTGTCACGTCTTTCATGTTTGATTTTGTAATTGCAAAATGACAATCATGCCCTTTGTCTTTAAACCTCATTTTTGCCCTTCATTATTTAAAATATTTAATGGTCGTTTATCAAACGCTTACCTGACAAGTGTTTATTGGAAAAAAATCATCACACTCACTTACCTTGATAAGTAGTATTCTCAACCATCAAAATGGATTGCGGTAGACATCTTTTATCCAGTGAGCGCTTACCGGATAAGAGTCATCATCATCATTTACCGGGTAAGATTATTGGTCTTTGCTATGCCTTTTTACCAATAAGATTATCCATTTTTGTCATGCTCACTGATAAGATAAGTGACACCCAATAAACGCTTACCTGACAAGAGTTTGATAAACGACCCCTAAAGCTTTATAGTGATCAGGGGTGGAAATTTTATGTCAAACGTAACCAACTAGCGTGTATTAATTGTATTAATTTAATTGATATTAATTACAGTCGACTGATAGTATCGTGAAAAATATATAAATTTGGTTGATACATGACATTAGAAATCGTGTATCACAGTAGTACCATAGTATCAACTTATTTAACTATTTGTTAATTTTTGTATTTTTAATGTATTAAATAATAAACATTGTAAACTTGGCTATTCTATATGAACATTGGAATGTTTGCAGGTTTTATTCATTGTAATTAAAAATACTTGGGGGGTGTTTGGTTCATGGAATTTGGTGGAATTGGAATGAATTGGAATGTCCAAATCTTTGACCAAATTCCAAATCTCATGTTTGGTTCACATAATAGATGTGAAGGAATCCTTCCAATTCCATCCAAATTCTTAATTCATTGATTTCACAATTTCACCGCATATACCACGGATTTCAAATTCCAATCCGACAAATTCCTTAGCCCTCATCCATTCATCAATGTTGTATCTCGATTTGCTCTGTTCTGCTATGCTCGATCTCGTTTAAAACTAAGAATGACAATGGGGCAGGTTCGAGCAGATAACTAAAAACCGTCCCCATGACCGTCCTGATCCCCCGTCGGGGATCTTATCGGGTCCCGCCGTTTCCCCGATCCCTGTTGGGGAATTCGTGAAGGTAAAAATCCTTTTTTTCCCATTCACCGTTGGTTGTAACCGAACCCGAAACAGATATAAAAATCCTCGAATTTAATATTATATATATATATATATAAATTAAAATTAATATATATACACATATCAAGCCGGGCCGGGCCGATGATCACCGTCCCCGCCCCCGTCCCCGTTAAAATCCCCGAATTTGTCCCCGATCCCCGTCCCGTCCCCGATAAGATGTCCCCGAACCCAGCCCGAAAGTTTCTGTTTCAGCTTTTTTTGCCTGTAATTTTCTCATTGAATTCCGTGAACGAAACAAAAAAAATTCCAATTTGGTAAAAAATTCCAATTCGGTAAAAAATTCCATTCCAATTTCATCCAACCAAACGCAATCAAAAGATATGGTCAAATTCCATTCCATTCCCTCAAAGTCAAATTCATTTGATGAATTCCAATTCCATTGAATTTCATTCTACAAACGGCCCCTTAAACTTCATATGTGTTATCTGAAAACTCAAAATGTCACTGAAAATCTAAACAAAATTACAAGTTTTCATGTAATTTGAGTTGGTATAAAACCAGTATCAATCAAAAAAAGTTGGTACCAAATATAGTTGGTTGGTAAATGACACAAGAGTTTTTATACCAATTATAATTGGTTGGTATAAGGAAAAAAAACTTGGTACAACACCAAGTCCACACCTAGTAGTGATGAGTTGGGTTCCGGTGAGAAAGTGAGTTAAAATAAGAAACATAAGAAAGGAATTTCCACAATTGGATGCACATTAGAATAAGATGCACTGAGATACAGTAGATCAACCCCCGTATCAAGCGCGAATCATGGGTAGGTATGAGATTAAAGGTGACCAATAGTCCAAATCCTTTCTCACGCTTCTCACATTTAACTCTCTTTCTCGTACGATCCTTCGCCAGTAGTGATTCACAAAAACTGGTCTTTTACTTTCTCTTTATCAAAGTTAAGAACTACCATAAAAAATCGACAACGGTAGTCACTTTTAAGACTGTCTTTTTAGTTGGGTTACATGTGTTTTTTTCAATATTAATAATTATTATATAAATCAAAATTTATTAAATACTAATAAAATAATACTTGACACAAAAGTTGAGGTAAGATGTAAGAGCATCTCCAACAGCTTCTCTATAATTTCTCTGAAATAGAGAATTAAAAGTCAAAATCTCTAAAATAAATTACAATCAACTGCAATAGCTTCTTTATTTTAGAAATTTTATCATAAAAGCTATAAAAACCCATTTTTTTCTTGTAAATTTACAATAATATTTTTTTGCCTTAACCGCATAATGGGCCCCATTTTCCAAATAAAAAAAACCGTACTGCTTTATGGATGTTTTTACCTAATTAGAACACGTTTACCTCCGTTAACTGTTTATCAAATAAAGTCATCATGCTCTCTTATTTTATCGGATAATATTTTCCCTGTAATTGAAATGTTTGTTGGTAAACCTATTTTACCCGATAAACACTTACTGTGTAAAAGTCTTCTTCCTCACTTACCAAGTAAGATTCTCGATCCTTATCATGTTCATCCGGTAAGATGCGTGACACCCGATAAGCATGTACCAATAAACGTTTACCAACCTCCCCTGACTTGCACCAAAATGATATAAGAGTCTGTTTGTTAGCAGCTTAATGAGACTCACAACTTATTCGGTTAGTTATACATGATGGTTTGGTACCGACTTAATAGTATAGAAAGTGACTTGTTCAGTAAATTTCTAGGGGGGAACATTATCCAGAAAGATTATGTTTTTTTTCCCAAACTTGTCCCTCCCAAAAAAAATCACGCTCATTCCATCTATGAAAAAACTCTCCCAAACAAAAATCTTGCCGATTATACTAAGAGGTTGTTTGGCAATTGCTGAATGATTTGGTGCAGAATGATTAAATGGTCAGAATGATTAAGAGACTCTCATGATATAGTGCAAAATAAAATATAACTGTTTGGTAATTGTTACAATGAAATTAAGGCTCTTAATGGTTAAGGGAGATCCAAGATACAAAATCATTTAAAAAGTTTTAGAACCATTAAAAAACAGACTTTTTTTTGCTAAATAAGATTTACCTCTTAATAGAACTATTAAGAGGCAAGAAAAAAAAAAAAAAGATCAATTCAGACAACACTTTTACAACCAAAGAGCCCTAAATATGTACTATATGCAATGTGGATGGAGCCAAAAGGCAGGGTCCCTTATCCAACCACCTTCCACACATTCAAATCCAATATGTCTCTACCTTCATCTTCCCCGCCATCTCCAGATCACAAAGCTCTAAACCACCACCATCAATGGCGGCCACTACTCCATCTTCTCTACTCCCAAAATCGATTCCACCATTTTTCACAAACCCGACTACACTTTCCTCAACCCGATTCCCAAATCTCTCTTTTCCAACCAATCCAACAGATCGCCAACCTCATTCCACCACTAGAACACCAACTGTTCGACCAAATGCCAAGAAGAGAAACGAGTGGCTCGACCCTTTCGATACAGGGGAGGACCCGGATATGGAGTACGGGTCGCAGTATTCCGAAGGTAAGCAATCGGAGGACCCACGACCGCCGGAGAATCCCGATAATCCATACGGGTTTCTCAAGTTTCCGATGGGATTCATGCCGGAAGTTGCATCGTTGGGGCTTAAAATCCGGGGGGATGTTCGGAGATGTTGTTGTGTGATTTCGGGTGGCGTTTACGAAAACCTGCTGTTTTTTCCGACGATTCAATTGCTTAAGGATCGGTATCCCGGGGTTCAGGTGGATGTTCTCAGTTCAGCCAGAGGGAAGCAAACTTATGAGATGAATAAGAATGTGAGATGGGCTGATGTTATTGATCCAGATGATGATTTCCCTGAGCCTGCAGAATATCTTGATTTACTTGGACTTATTAAGGTTAGTAATGATTCAGACGTCTAACGAGCTCGAGAGCTTAATAGTTCTCGAGCTCGAGTCGATCTTAAACACTAGGTAAAACTCGTTTGAATTGATGAGTCGAGTTTCATAACGGTAATGTTTGACTCGACTTGTTCGATAACTTGATTAAATTTTTCGGGCTGAGAAGAGGCATTCGAGCATACACTGTTTTGAGCCAAACGTGCTCGTATATTCGTAAATCATACGATAAAGATAGAAATATTATCGAGCTTAAATTAATAAACGAGTTAATCGATCGCCAGTTTGAACCCTATTACTTTGAAAAAGTTATTCGAGCTCGAGTTTGGTTTTATTTTTTCGAGCCGATCTAGAATAACCTACTACTCGACTCGACTCATTTACACCCCTAACTACCTCATGAAAGAAAGTTAAAGAGTCTCGATTTACCATTCTATTTGAGAAAATACGAGCAAAATGCAAAGAAGTTCGGTTTAGTTCATATCTAAGGTTGATGGAAAATTTTCTTTTCAAAATTCATGCAACGAAGGGTCCGTTTACCAAACGCTTACCCACAAGTCAGATTACCTTACCAGATGAAAATGACAATGACCGAGAATTTATCCTGTAAGAACTATGGCAACGGCTTAGAGTCTTACCCGGTTATCACTTACCGGGTAAATTGTCACATACGATGTTGTTTTGATGGACTAAAAAATGTTACCGGGTAAGGTAAGTGATAATGTTGAATCTTACCGATAAATGCTTACCGGGTAAGTTTTTGTGTAAACGGCCCCAAAGTCTTAAAAATTTCCTATTTTGATCTGTAATCTTTGATGATGTGGATACCCATTTACGAAAAGGTTACGGTGAAGTAAATGATAAACTCGAGATCCACGTCCTCAAATGTCACAAGATTAGTTGGTTGTTGTTGTTCATAATAGGTACTCCAGGTCCCAAAATATATATCCACAATGAAAAAAGTCAGATAGTTTTAGAAATATGTAATTATTACACTCTTAGTTAATAAAATGACAATTTTACCCTTAACAATAAATGAAGTAATGAATATCTCCATCCCATAAGCAATAGACATTTGTTTCGAGACAAACTAAATTATAAATGTGGACACTTATTTTGGGACGAATGAGTCCAAAATAGGAAAATATAAAACTTTATTACATTGATAAAAAAAAATCTTTACGACACTAAATAGGAATTAAGGCAAACTCGTTGCATTTTGCCTGATACTGACTTTGACGACGCCTTCGATGAGTGTTACATGTTACTTGCAGAATAGGTATTACGATATGATTCTATCGACCAAACTGGCCGGTGTGGGACATGCATCGTTTTTGTTCATGTCAACGGCTAGAGAACGAGTGGGTTACATATACCCGAATGTCAATTCAGCAGGAGCGGGATTATTTATGTCAGAAACATTTACACCGGATCGGTTGAATCTCTCTGAGGGTGGATATCACATGTGAGTTAATATAAAGAAGTTATCTTTTCCGTCCCAAAATAAGTGTCCACATTTTTATTTTAGTTTCTTCTCAAAATAAGCGTTTACTTTTAGAAGGGGTTGTTTGTTTACCTCTTATTAGTTTCATTAAGAGGCAACATCTGAATCATTAAGAGGTGAATCTTGTTTGACAAAAAAAAAAAATCTGTCTCTTAATGATTCTATAACCCTCTGAATGATTTTGTATCCTGGATCTCCCTTGACCATTAAGACCCCTAATTTCATTGTACACAATTACCGAACAATTATATTTCATTTTGCACTATATCATCAAAGCCTCTTAATCATTCTGCACCAAACCATTAAGCAATTGACAAATAGCCCCTAAGTGTTTATTTTCTAATTCCAACCGTTTTTATAAGATGGAGAAACTTGTTACACCCTTTATTATCAAGGGTAAAATTGTTATTAGTTAACGCGAAAAGTCCAAAAAACCAATTGGGTTTCATATTTTGAGCGATTAAGTTTTTGGATATTTTTTTGAATAGATAAATCAAGTAAATTACCTTTTTCGTCCCCATGATTTGTTAAAAATTGCATTTTTTGATCTTGTGGTTTAGAAATTACGGTCTTCCTATGGTTTATAATTCATTGCTACTTTTGTCTTCATGAATTATACATTTTACTGTTGTTTCGGTCCTGTGGTTTACAATTCTTTATTGTTTTAGTCCCTTATACTTAAATGTAGGAATTAATCCAAAGACGAAAATAGCAATAAATTGTATATTATAGGGACAAAAATCATAATTTCTGAACCACATGGACGGAAATTGCAATTTCTAACAAAGCACGGGAACGAAAATCACAATTTACTCCTGATATATCCTTGCACTTTCTGAAACCGAACAGGTTGATCCTTATTGTGGTAAAATCATGGGAAAATTCCGAAAAAAAAACCAACACACTTTCACATTTTAAGCGATCAAGATTCAAGTCCCTGGACATTTTGGAACGATAAAATCATGGGAAAAGTCCAAAAAAACCCAACATACTTTCACATTTTGAACGAAAATTCACTCAAAACATTAAAGTCTGTTAGGTATTTTTGGACTTTTAAAAAGTGTAACCATTACACATTTCTAAAATCGTGCGTCTTTTTCATTTGTGGCGTTTATTTTGGAACAGAGGGAGTAACGTTTAATGGTACCACATTACAATGAAAGACAGTGATTTGATGATATTTGTAACAGGTACCATCAAATGACGGATTGGCTAGCAAGACCAGGTCGGGGTGTGCCGAGGCAAACGGTTCCACCACTTAAAGTATCAATGTCTCGAAAGCTAAAGGACACGGTAGCGGCAAAATACAAGGATGCTGGTGTTGAGAAAGGGAAATATGTAGTGATACATGGGATACAATCAGATTCAAAAGCTTCTATGCAATCTAGGGGAGATGTTGATAGCTTACTGCCCCTGCATATATGGGCAGAGATAACAAAGTCTATAAGGTGATCAAAGCTATATATATATATAGATATATATGTATATGTATCTATGTATATGTATATATACAGAGGACGTTTCAAATGCAACTCATCACATTTGTACAATCAATATAACCCAATTAATTGAGATATTTATGGAAATGATGAGAGTTTATTTATTATTATCTGAATATTTATGAAAGATAACTATGACTTGTTAATTATGATCAATACTTTATATTATAAAACAATCAAAACTTTTATAAAATTACATATTCATCAAATTAAATGGTGGCTGTACAAATGTAATGGGTTGCACAATAACTCACCTCTCTCTATATATGTATATATATATATATATAGTGACATTCTTTTGAAAACTCATGAAATTGTTTTTTTTTGAAGTATATAATATTTATATACAGCAAATGCAACAAATAAACTCATACATACTTCTCATCGTTGGTGAGGTTTGAACCCTTGACCTCCTAAGAGGCCAAAGACTACGATACCGCTAGGCCGAAGGCCCTTTGATAACTCATGAAATTGTTATAACCTTGAGAACTTGTGCATCATGTGTTATTTCACATTTTTTTCATCTAAGGCTAGAATTTGATGTATTCATCAACATATATTTGTTTCACGTGTACTCGTTTCACAGTGTAAATCTTGTTGGAGTGTTTGTGAACAAAAAATACACAAAAAAATTTCACATTGTGAATCGACTACATGTAAAACAAACACTTTATGAAACAAATATATATTAATCAATACATTAAATACTATATCTCAATAGAAAAAAATGAAATGACACACGGTGTACAAGTTCTCAATCACAATTTCATGGGTTTTCAAATGATTAAGGCCCTATATATATTATATAGGATCAGGTTCAGGAAAAAAAATGAAAAACCGAGAATCACTCTTGTAACTATTGATTTTGATTGTATACACATGTGCATTACAAGTAATTTGTAAGCAATTTGTCCGGTATACACATGTGCATAACATGTACACATGCATAAAAACAAAGGAACAACTTCACTTACTTGTATATACATGTGCATATCGTCCAAATGAACAGTTATCAGGATGTTCCTTAGTTTTTTAATTTTTTTAGGTTTTCCCCTTAACCCCTCTCATATATATTCATTTTCTTCTCATATTTTTATGCATCTAGGTGGCATAAGTTGTAGTGTGGCTCACAAGAAGCCCTAGCCTCTTAGAGTGCGTTTGATAAGCAAGATAAGACAAAACTGGAGAAAAACTTGTTGTCCTGTGTTTAACGTGACATTAAACTAAGCAAGGATATTCATTTTTGTCCTGCCAAAATAGGTGGAACAAAATCAGGGTGATGAGACAAGATCGATAAATTACTAAACTACCTACGTCAAATTAGAACACTAGAACACTGCACAATTCTTTCACCCACCTATCTAACTCTCACTCGTCCACTCCTATCCTGTCCCATCCACTCTTGGCCAGTCCCATGGACGGGACAAGACAGAACAAAAACTTGTTATCCTATGTTTGGTGCGACATTAGACCAGGTTAAGATGGAACTGAGTGAGAGAAAAATGCATTTTCCCCACCAAATAGGTGCAACAAAAATCTAGAAGACTAGACAAGATTGATAAATTATTAAACTACTCATATCAAATTAAAACCCGAACATTTTCCACAATTCTTGCACCATCCTTGTAGATACCAAAAGAGCAATAATAGCTGAAACCTTGAGGGGTTAGCTCACAAGCCATAACTCTTGGGCCTTTGGTGCTCCTCCCCATAGGTCACCAGTTCGAGTCCCCCTAAAACCGTTGGGGATTCTCCTGACTGTTTTCCAAGGTCCCATGGGATTAGTCGGGGTGCGCACAAGCTTGCCCAAACACCCACGGTTAAAAAAGCAAATAGTCAATTAATTTGTTGGTGCTCCTTTGAAGTAGAACATGGTTTCTGTCAAAGAAACCCTTTTATCGGTTATCACATATCATATCGTCTCCCATAGAACATTAATAATGGCAATAATATGCAATTTTTCAACTACAAGGGTGGTGCATGATTGGTTTGAACTTGACTCCAAAGGTCAAAAGTACCCGAAGGTCTCAGGTTCAAATCCAAGGAGAAATAAAAATCCCTTGTGGCCACACAAGTTCAAATGCGATGACTCCGGGCTATCTGCAAAGCAGGTGGTCGCCCTGGGATTAGTCGACTCGCATAGCGGGTTGGATATCCAGGTTAATATATATATATATATATATATATAATTTTTCCATGATGGTTTCTTATTTGATTTCTATTGTCATACAGAGGAGTTAAACCAGTCTATGTGATCCCTCATGAGAAGGAAAGAGAGAATGTGGAAGAAATTATAGGATATGATGCCAATATAGTATTCATCACCACACCAGGGCAGGTTTGAATCTCTCCTTCCAAGATTTAAATGTTCAAAAGAAAGGTTGGATAAGCTAAATAGTTACTAAGACCAGAACTTTTTCGGCTTATTGAAAAAGCCTTGTTTGGGTAGCCATAAGCTAACAGAATTAACCACTTGGGTTATGGCTAACTTGTTAAGACTCAGAGGGGGTGTAATGGAAATTTCATCTTCCTTGGGTTCAAATCAGGGTGCCCAAAGCCCTTATGACCATGGAGATTCACCTGCGATGACTAGAGGCCATTCGTGGTTGCTCACGAATTAGTCGGTGCAGGTAAGCTAACCCAAATACTGACGGTTACCAAAAAAAAAACTAGCAGAATTGAGCAATAAGGCCATGGGTTCAAATCCGGGCGACCAAAGCCCTTGTGGGCAAGAAAGTGCGCCTATGATGACTCTAGACCATTTGTAATCACTCGGGGATCAGTCGGTTGCGTAAGCTGGCCCTAACACCCATGGTTACCCAAAAAAACTAGCAAAATCAAGTAACTTCTTAACACGTCCCTTTTGTTTATGTTACATTTGTCAACTAACTCATCAGCTAATTTTTGCCAACCTTGAATAGCTTATCAGCTAGTTTGCCAAACATAGACTAAGGAGTTGTTTACTAAATGCTTACCGGGTAAGTGGTTACCGATATTACACACCTTACCGATTGAGCATGACAAGAACCAATAATCATAGCCTGTAAGAAGCATAACAAGGACCGAAAGTCTTACCCAGTAAGTGAGAAAAGACTTTTACCAGGTTTAAGATGCTTATCAATAATCCATTTTGATGGCCCAGAATGTTTCATGATAAGGTAAGTGAGGGTTCTTGCCGGTAAGCGCTTACCTGGTAAATATTTGGTAAACAGCCCCTAAATCTATGACTTAAGTTTAAAAGAGCTAGTCTAATGTTCGTATTTTGTTAAATATATCGAGCAGTTGGCTGCCCTTATCAACGATTCCGTTGGGGTCATATCTACAAACACAGCAGCCGTACAAATAGCACGAGCTCGTGAAAAACCCTGGTGAGATTTCTCAAAAAGAGTTCAACTTTATTATAAACTAAAGAACACCACTACAATAAAGACTTACGGGTTCCTGTATGCTCATGTCAGTGTGGCATTGTTCGGTTCTGAAGAGAAAGCGAAACTGTTTCTTCCGAACCTAGAAGACAATAATAAATTCATAATAGCTTCATCAAAGACAGGGAAGCTAGTAGACATTGATACAGATGCTGTCAAAAATGCAGTCCAGATATTTGAGATGCCACTGGCAATTGCTTAATGGATGAAGATGAACAGAATGTTAGTTTTCTTTAAATGTTATTCATTCAGCTGTATATTTGACATCAAAATTGTTGTTGGAATCCAGCTTCAGATGATGTTGTTGCATATATAACATCCATTCGCGGATCTGTAAAGGGCTCGGTTCAGCCACGCGATAACTGGGCCATTGCCAGATTAAGTTAATTTACATGTTTAATCTCTTACACGAAACAAATTCAACTTCATTAATATGTATGTATGTATGTATATGGGAATAATCAAATGAGAACCTTGTATATTATGAGAACTGTGAGAGCTTTTACCCTTGAGATATTGTATCACATATTTTTTTTCATCTAAGGCTAGGATTTTAAGGTATTAATTAACATATATTTGTTTCACAATGTGAAAAATGTGTAATTTTTTTGTCACACACATGTAAATGAAGTTTCCATTTGTGGAATACATATATTTTGAAACAAACATATGTTAATCAATAACTTAAATCCTAACCTTAGATTAAAAAAGATCATGTGAAATAACACATGATGGACCGGTTCTCACATGATTAGTGCCCCCACTATATATATATATATATATATATATAGAGAGAGAGAGAGAGAGAGAGAGTTGGGATCATATGAGACCCCATAAATAACATAACCTTCACATCAAAACATTGTGAAGGTTCGGTGTTTTTGTACCTTCACAATGCTTTGTTGTGAACTTTCAGTGTTATTCTGTGGTCCCACGGGTCTCACAAATACATGCTGGTCTCACTTGAACCGAACCTTATTATATATATAGAGGTGAGTTATTATGCAACCCTTTACATTTGTACAACCAATACAACTCAATCTCAACCGTCCATTTAATTTGATGAATATGTGATTTCATAAATTTTTTGATTGTTTCCTAATATAAAGTATTGATCATAATTAATGAACCATAKTCATCTTCCATAAATATTCAAATCATAATAAATGAACTCTCATCATTTCCATAAATGTCTCAATTGATTGAGTTGCATTGGTTGTACAAATGTGATGGGTTGCATTTGAAACGTCATCTCTCTCTCTCTCTATATATATATATATGCTCAGGTTCATGTGAGAACAACAAAAGAAATTGAGAACCGGAGAATGGGTATATTTATGCATCGTTGATACATATATACTACCAAAATATGTCTTCCATCAATACATATCTACTGTGTATGCAAGTATATATACATTGTTGCATTGATGCATATACTCATTAAAATTCATTAGTGTATATGCATCAATGAATGTACAAGTTTTCCGGTTCTCAATCTTTTTGTGATTCTCACATGAACCGCCCTTTCTCTCTCTCTCTCTCTCTCTCTCTCTCTATACATATATATATATATATATATATATTACTTTCTTTAACTTACCCAAGTCTCATTTTGAACAACACAAGAAGAAAGGCCTGAATTTCTGTAAGCTGCATGCATGTATCAAACTTAAACACTAGAAGAAACTCAGTAATGCATACCAACATCAAGTCTGATTAGAAAGAACAAACTCTATCTCAAATTACAAATTTGACGAAAGCATGGAACTCAAATCCGTGGCTTTCAGCACAATAAACCCGTGTTCTCAAACTCTAGGGTTGCAACTTTCGTATTCAGTTAGAGAACCAGAAGATATGCCAAACATCAATTAGTCGGAAAGCAAAAAAGAATTAGCAGATTTTAAGAAAGTAGGTTGGCACGAGAAGTTGGATCCTCCTTCGATTCAACATGTATCATGAAAAGATATCCTAATACCCAAAGGAAGATATATAAAAAGGGAACCCAAGGTAGGCAGGCTAGAAGGCTCATAATACTACCGACATACTGAGGATCTTTTACGGTCCCAAAAGGGAACTCTGTTACCCATGGTATGTTCTTCCCGAAGCGTACACCATAGTAAGTGCCCGACTCACCAAGCAATTGATATACCCTGAAATCAATTGTTTCAGAAAAAGACCTTAGAATCCAAGTATTAGTTTTAAAATATTACACAAAACATTGGAACCAAAAACTTTTGATCCATTTGGATCTACTCTAAAAACCAAACAAGCTCAATAGATCCCACTTGGAGGTGGGGTCCGGGAGTAGAGCTGTAAACAAACCGAACGAACATGAGCAGAGGCTTGTTCATGTTCGTTCGTTTAACTTAAACGAATGGAATTTTTTTGTGTTCATATTCGTTCGTTAAGAAAATGTGCTTGTTTGTGTTCGTTTATGTTGGTTCGTTAAGATGCTAAGAGAATGTAAACGAACAAACACAAATGAACAAAAAAAACAATCACCATTACTCATCATTTCGTTCCTCAAAAGTAACACAACAAAATGAAAAACCGGGTGAATTTAGGAGGGATAAAAAAGAAATTATAAAAACTTAATTTCATTAATGATTTTACATATTAATGTCATAATATTAATTTTTCATACATATTAATGAACATAAACGAACAATAACAAAAATAAATAAACGAATATTCACAAAGGTAAATGAACGAACGAGATCATTGTTCATGTTTGTTCATTTAATATGTTCATGTTCGTTCATTTACTAAATAAGCGAACTTCCGGCCGAACAGTTCACTAAGCATTCGGTTCGTTTACAACCCTATATGAGAGGGACGAGATGTAGGCAGACCTGACCCCTATCCTGGAGGGGTCATTCAAGGATATGACCTTAAATGAATTTTTAATTAAATCCATGACCTCCTTGCCTATTAAAGAAAAATGGCTTTATACTCGTGAGAAGATCATAAATTGAAACCACAAGGGTTGTGGTGTAGTGGTTGAGGCTCAGGGAGATGTGGTGGAATATCCTATCTGCCCTAGGTTCAAATCCAGGCGTCCACAACAATTATGGCCGCTGAGTTTATCAGACTTGATGTCTTACAATCGCAATTTGCTGGAATTAGTTTGGGCATAGCTAGAGGCACCCTTCCAAAAGAAAAGAAAAAAGGTCATGAATTAAAATCTCATTGAAGGTTATATACCTAAAAATCCCTATCCAGAAGAGTAGAGCGGTTGTTACCATGAAGATCCTTGGCTTGCAAAAAGTGTGCCAAAAGAAGGGTCATTTAGGTATATGAACTTAAAATGAGATTTTAATTGAATCCATTACCTCCTGGCCTATTAAAGAAAAAATGGCTTCATACTCATCACAAGGTCATGGATTTAATTAAAACCCATTTACGGTTATATACCTAAATGTATCACCAAAAAAAAGATAGCCCGAAAAAGCTAAAGAAATAGAAAAAAGGAGCAGTGAAATAAAAACAAAGATTAAGGCTAGAAACAAACTACGATAATGAAACCACCGCAAAGAAGAGGTAAGATGCACCAAAGGAACAAAGAATCATAGGCAGGTAGGAAGGAACATAACGAACGAAAGACAACAAGCCAGCCCTTGGTCTATCCTAGGGTTCCGGTTGTCTATCACCCGGCTCCCTACCCCCACCGACTACCTCTCCGGCACCCTTCCTCCTGCTTGGCCTAGCTACATTCTGCGGGTGTGAGCAGGTCACACCCCATAGTCTGATAATCTTGTGTCTCCACGAACTCCTATCATTTGGAGCTACTCTAAGAGCCTGTTTGTTAGCAGCTTAATGAGCTTAATGGGACCTACAACTTTTTCATTCAACTATACATGATTGTTTTGTAGTGGCTTAATAATATAGAAAGTGGCTTATCCAGTAAGCTTTCAGGGGGTGCTTTATGCAGAAAGCCAAGTTTTTTTCCAAACTTACCCCTCCCAATTAAGAAACACACTCCTATCTATGAAAAAACCATCTCAAACAAAAACCTTCCCAATCTATACAGACAGATCAATGCACACAGTCATTTTTATCCATACGAGACTTAAATGAAAAACCAACCAAACAGCCCCTAAGATTGTTAAGGAAAGAAACATCTCAAATGGATTCAAACACCTCTATCTAGACCATTAGAAACTTGAGAAGATCAAGTCTTTGTTTGGGTTATGTTCTTGCAAATGCTTGTAGCCCAATTCTATGATTAATATCATCTCCACTGAATCCATGTCATGAATCTTGATCAACAATCGTTTCTACAATCTAGTAATAATAACTAATGATGAATGATTAAACACGCTCCTAATTGCCTGCTACAAACTAATCTTTGTCATAAACAGGATCACTCTAATTGTTTGTCCTACAAAGTGATTTGAGGATCTACATTCTACAATGTGGGACTTTCCATTTGTATTAAGATTCGAAGCATCTCAACCCAAGAAACAGCTTCAATTCCATGTGCATACCGTCCAAATGAATGGTTAGAAGGTGTTCCTAAAAGAAAATAATTTTTTTAGGTTTTCCCGTAAACCTCCCTCTATATATATATATATATATATATATATATGCACCTCTCTTGAGCAGCGATGACCTCTTGCAATTTAATGTGCACAATCTAATACTCCTAATTTATCCGCTGTACAACATCTATACAATCTCAATAAACCCTAACTAAATATGCAAACAATTCCATTACCAGTAAAGCAAAAGATCATCCCAAAACTCCACCGTAACTACAATTTCTGAGAAGGTAATTGTACGAACCTCAAGTTAAGAAACTGGCCGAGTAAGAAGAGAGGCCAAAAGTAGAGAGGAGGCGGCCATGAAAAAGTTGAAACGGAGAAGAGCGATAAGAACTGAACCAGCTTGAGAAAATGAGAAACCATAGCCATGATTTTGCAAGGATCTCGACCTTTTCCGCACAAATTCACCCATGTTTGAGGATGATTCCATAGCCAATAGTAGAATGGAAATGGCGTCACAACTCCGAAACATGCCAATATCCCCATTCTCTCCACTGCTTTTGCTTCTGTTGTCAATTTGTCTGAGTTTCTTCGCACCCTAAAACCTTTCTTCTTCAAAACCAAACCCGACTGTAATTAATATTACTAATGTTAATAGTTTGAATAAATTACATTTTTATCCCTGTGGTTTAGAAATTACGTTTTTTATTAAACCAGTCCGTTATGCGAGCCGACTAATCTCAGAGCGACCACCTGCTTTGCTGGTAGCCCAGAGTCACTGCATTTAATCCTCCATGGCCACAAAAGGCTTTCATGATATAGTGCAAAATGAAATATAATTGTTTAGTAATTGTTTACAATGAAATCATGACACTTAATGGTTAAGGGAGGCTCAGAATATAAAATCATGCTGAGGGTTTTAGAACCATTAAGAGGCAGACTTTTTTTATGTCAAACAAGATTCACCTCTTAATGATTCAGATGTTGCTTCTTAATGGAACTAGTAAGAGGTAAACAAACAACCCCTTAACTCAATGTTTTGTCTTTATTTTTCGGATTTACCGGATACAGGACAAGTAAGTCTTTGGTGAATTGAAGTCTAGCTGAAGTGAAGATCAATAACGTTAAAGCAGTTCAGTATTCCGGCTATCCGATTGAAAACCATAGTCTACTAAAACTTATCACTCAAATATACAATTCCGCTAACTACGTGACTGAATTTTCATTCCCCAAGTTTTACCTCGAATGAAAATTTAGGGGTCGTTTACCTAAACACTTACTCGAGAAACACTTACCGGTAAAATTCAACACTATCGCTTACTTGTCGGGTAAGATTTTATTCACTAAAACGCATCGCATGCAACAATTTATCCCGGTAAGCACCAACCATGGTAAGAGTCCTCGTCCTCACTTACCGGTTAAGACTCTCGATTCTTGCCTTCGCTCTTACCGGGTAAGATTATTAGCCCTTGTCATATTCATCCGGTAAAGTAAAGTGACTTGGTAAGGCTTACCCGGATAAGCGTTTGATAAACGGCATCTTAGGTTCACTCGAAAATGAATCCATTGTATTATGTAAAACCAAAGATCGTCTTCTATCCTTATTTTCGTTCATTAGTATTTAATGCATCTAATAACACACTCTTAGATTTTCGTTTTAGTTGCAACTTTTGATTTACAGTAAAATTTGGAGTAAATTACTCTTTTGGTCTCTGAGGTTGTCACCCACTGGTAACTTTCGTCCCTCTTTTGAATTAATTACAGTTTTAATCACTGCAGTTGCCATTTTGTTTCACATTTGGTTCTTCAAACCAACTTCTGTTAAATAGGTCCGTTAAATCAAAGGTATTTTAATATTTTTAAAAAAGGACTACAGTTGCTAACGAGCGACAATCCTATAGACTAAAAGTATAATTTAGGGGGTGTTTGACAGTTGTTAAATGGTTTGGTGCAGAATGATTAAGTGGTCAGAATGATTAAAAGGCTCTCATGATATAATGCAAAATAAAATATGATTGTTTGGTAATTGTTTACAACAAAATTAGAATGCTAAATGGTGAAGGGAGACCCATGATACAAAGTCATTTAAAGGGTTTTAAAACCATTAAAAGACAAATTTTTTTATCATACAAGATTCACCTGTTAACGATTCAAGTACTGCTTCTTAGTAAAATAAACAAACTAATCCTCGGTCTAAAACTTGACACGTTAAAAGCAACTAAAATAGAAGGGAAAAAACCCAAAGCCAAAGCCGAAGCCGAGAAGGGTATTAGTTGCATTTTCAGGAACAAGGCAGGGGGGGAAGAGAAGAGGGTTTTAGGGCGAGAAAGAAAGACGAAAATGGGAAGCCAGACGAATAATGGAGGAGGGGGTTTTAGGGCGAAAATGGAGCACTATCTTTACAGTGGTGAAAAGAAGCATGTCATGGCTGGCATGGCCATCATCGGCGTCATCTTTGGGGTTCCATGGTACCTCATGAACCGAGGTATTCTTTTTTACTACTCAATTCTTCATTACTGTTCATGAAGATCATATAAATTCAGACCAAAATTAGGGTTTTATGTTCGCGTTTTAATTTGATTGCATCTAGCTTCGATCGATTTGTGTTTTCTGTTTTTGGTAGTTTAAATTATACGTTCTTAGAATGCAAAAGCTTTCGCATGTTTAGGGTTCGTATGCAGGTGATTTCTGTGATTGCTCAAGGATCTATGATCTTGGTGGATTTTCTAGTTATCAGTGTTAAGGGGTTGTTTGGTTAGCTTTCCTTTTAGTCTGTATGTTGCATGTACAGATTAATCTGTATGTATAGATTGAGAATGGTTCTATTTGGGAGGGTTTTTTTATAGATGACAGGAGTGTGTTTTTTAATTAGGATGGGAAGAAATGGAAAAACACTTGGCTTTATGCATAAGCTCCCTCTTAGAAGCTTATAGAATTAGTCACTTTCTATATCATTAAGCCACTACCAAACAATCACATATAGCTGAACGAATAAGCTGTGAGTCTTATTAAGCTGCTAACAAACATGCCTTAGGCTTAGACCATTTCTCCTCCGTATATGTTTGGAACCTCGGTTCTTTTGGAGAGAACTCTTGGGCTTCCACGTATTGCCACATGATATCAAAGCCAAGGTCTCGACACACATTGGCAATCTGTACTCGCCTAGCCCCCTCTCAAAACACTGGGACAGTCTGTGTCTGTCTAGCCTCCGTCGGAGGGGGTGTGTTAGAGTCCCAAATCGGCTAGACTTGGACCAATTTTCCTTCATATATAATTTTTGAACCTTCCTTTTCTCTAGAAGGGCTCTTTTGGAGATTAATCTCGGGGTTCCACATATTCTCACAATCAGTTGAGTTGGTGTCGAGTTTTCCCATTAGATTATCTGTAAGATCTGGAGGCTATTTGAACTGAATCAAGTTAGCTTCATGTTTGAACGAGGTCTGTAGTCTGCTGTGACTGAGAGATAATAAGCTCTAAATAGCTGCAAAATTGGCCTTTTCTGCTTCTATGGTTAAGGCTGTGTGTTAAGAGTACAAGAAGCTATAATGTGGAAGATCTCTTCAGTGAATACCGATACTTTTTTATGAGACAGATTATGATATAATCCGGTTATCTTTTCTGTTCGGTTTTGTTCTTATGGTTGGAGGGTATTGTACTCTTGCACAAGCCAGGGGTCTTTACGGAAGCAGCCGCTTTACCTTCGTGAGGTAGAGGTGAGCGTACATTTCACACGTACCCTCCTCAGACCTTGCTTTTGAGTGAGATTTACTGGATCGGTTTGGTTTGGTTTGGTTTGGTTTGGTTAGAGGGTATTTAGCAAGAGTGTTTCTTTTGTGTAGAAGGTTGAATATGAAATGACCAACGGGAAATGGCATAATACCTTGTGGTAAAACGGCTATCGGATGAGGAGATGCCTATTATAGAATTCATTTACCTACTGTATATACCCATATGGGGTTCCGTAATAGACTGATTGAGCTTTGTAGCCTTTGTTATGATCATTATATATACATTATATATATATATATATATATGTGGTTCAGGGGAAAACCGTAGAAAATGAAAAATTGCGGAACATCTTAATAACCATTCATCTGTATGGTATGCACATATGCATACAAGTAATTTGTCCGGTATCCACACATGCATAAACATGCACACGTGCATAGAAATCAAGAAACAACTTCAGTTACTTGTATGCACATGTGCATGCTGTACAAATGAATGGTTATTAGGATGTTTCTCAGTTTTTCCTTTTTTTGGAGGGTTTTCCCCTTAACCTCAGTCAGTCTCTATATATAGGAGGTTTCAAATACAAACCATGTAATTCTTATAAGCCATATTCTTTACCGTCCATCTAGACTCATAAATATCTGGTTCATAAAATCTTAATTGTTATCTAATCTAAAGCATGATCATAATGAATGAACCTTATCATCTTCCATAAACATAAGTATCATTTATCGTTCACAATTGGTTGAGTCCTCCACATATGTATTGCTTGATCTTATTTTCACCAAAAATCCGGCAAATCGAGTGCAATTGCTCCAAGCTTTATTGACTTCATAACTGTCCGTTTTTAGCCCGGATCTAATCTAACCGATGTTCTGTTTACTGAAGGTACAAAACATCAATCCCATCAAGACTATTTGGAGAAAGCCGATAGAGCTCGAAATGCACGGCTTCATTCTGCACCATCTGCACCAAAATAATCATTTACGCAAGTCGTTATTTTCTCTACGCTGATCGTGTTTTCTTTAATAGAATACCGTTACAACCCAGTTGTCGAAAATGCTGTATCGGTTTCTTTTCACCATTGTTAGCCAAAGGAGCATAATTTTTGTTCAAATTTTCTTGTATTTTGGATTTTGAAAGAAAGAAATAATGGGTAGTTGGAAGTTTTTAAAGATCCTGCTGTTGATTACTTCTCCAAGTCAAGTAGTCAAAATCTTTCGGTTGAAATCCAATGAATTTATGTGGATCTGATTTAATTATCCGTTGGATGTTGGATCTTGCCATATGATATGATCTGATTAGATTTGGACAATCGATTCGATCTGATCCAATGGGTGATTGAAGTAGATCGATTTCGTTCATTGGATATTATTATTGGTTATATGTTGTATTCATCCATGGTTTTGATCTAGTTTTTAATCAATTAATCTACCCTTATTCGTATATTTTTCAAATTTCTTGAAAAACCCTATATAATTATATCATCAAAATGAAATATCATAAGATGTAAATAATTATACTTATTTATTAATTAAATGGTATTGGTAGTTGGATTGTAATTAGATGAATAATTGGATTGGATTGGATTGGTTCGGTTTTATTGGATTCTGGATTGTCATCGAAGAACTGACCGATCCAATTTGGATGTTTGAAAGTTTGGATCTGATCCAATTACAATTAGATATCCAATTATGGTCAGTCGGTTCTAATTAAATCAGATGACTTTCTGTACATCCTAATCTTTATAATTATAGAGAATCTGATGAAAATGCTCTCAGTATGCTAATCTCATTGGAGAGAAAGTAACAATTAAACTAAAAATTTAAAACATTTATATTAATTACAAAAATTAAAGGGCATTGCTATATGCACCCTCATTTAAGTCAAAATCAGATCAAATCATGCATTGAAACTATAAAAACAAGTCTTGATGTTGATGTATATGAAATGAAAATGGGTAATACTATATGCACCACCTTTTATGTCAAAATCAGGTCAAATCATGTATTGAAAATATAATAAGTAGGTTTCAATGTTAATGTATGTGATGAGAAAATTAGTAGGTAGGAGTACATTTATCAATATACAAGGGTGCATTTAGCCCAACCTAAGAAAAATAGTATATAGAAGTGTATTTAACATGTAGCAATGCATTTAGCCCATCCTAAATTAAAATGGGTAATGTTGTATGCACCATCTTTCATGTCAGAATCAAGTCAAATCATACATTGAAAATGTAATACGTAGGTCTTGATGTTAATGTGTATAAAGAAAATACTAAACAATCATTTTTAGGAAGTTACCTCTAATTTAGAGAATCTGATGAAGATGCTCTCAGTCTGCTAATCTCATTGGAGAGAAATGAACAATTAAACTAAAAATTTAAAACATCTATACTGGCATTGCTATATGCACCCTCATTTAAGTCAGAATCAGATCAAATCATGCATTGAAACTATAAAAAACGAGTCTTGATGTTGATGTGTATGAAAAGAAAATGGGTAATATTATATGCATCACCTATTATGTCAGAATCAGGTCAAATCATATAATGAAAATATAATAAGTAGGTTTTCATGTTGAATGTTGATGCATGCGATGAGAAAATTTACAGGCACAAGTACATTTATCAATATATAAAGGTGCATTTAGTCTAATCTAGAAAAATAATAGTATATAGAAGTGTATTTAACAATATGTAGCGGTGCATTTAGCCCACCCCAAATTAAAATGGGTAATGCTATGTGCACTCCCTTTCATGTCAGAATCAAGTCAAATCATACATTGAAAATATAATACGTAGGTCTTAGTGTTAACGTGTGTAAAGAAAAAAAAATAGTAGGTAGAGATGCATTTAGTAATACTAGAAAGATACTCGCATAATGCAGCGAGATACATCTCAATTTAATATTTTGTTTTTTCTTTGTCTTAGTCAATGTTATAATACGATTTTATGTGGTTTTGAGAAAACGATAATGTTTTTATTTTTGAATAAAATATAAATATAAAGATATATCATAAAAAATAATTTTTTATAGATATAACTAACTATTTAAAATTTCTCTTTTTTTGTGTATTTCTTTAATTCATTTTTTTTAATAATATAATTTTTTTTATAAAGATAATAATTAAGTATTTTTTTAGAACTCAATGATTATTCTAATTATATTTTAGATTTTTTATATTTTAAAATGAAATGTTTATCCTCTATTTGATTATGTTTATCCTCTATTTGATTATGTTTATCCGCAGTTAGTTACATGAATTCAAACATGGAGCTTTAATAAGTTGTACTTATGCATAATTTACTTGTAATCTTGAACTTTAACTAATATGCATCAATATACAGTACTTCATGCACAAAAAATGGTGTTTAAAAGTTTTTGTCAAATGCTTTATAATATTGTATAAATATAAGGGTGCATTTAACCCATAAATCAAAATAATCTTCATAGTATTCTTTTGCATCAATAATTAGAGTAACACTTGATAAGAAAGAATCAAAATTCACACTTTGAGAACTCTTTTGCTTTCCAATGCTCATCATACTTCCATCTGAATTTGCCCCAATCTACAATGGCATCAATCTTCTGTGCTTGAAAAACCACAAAAATGACCCAAACAAAATGGCTCCAGAAACCCCAGTAATTATCAATACCCATTTGAATGCCGATGGCGAATCAAACAACGTTATCTGGAAATTCATCCCGAATATCCCCGCCACCACCCCGAATATGGCGACGACAAATGTCCCAGTCGTCAGTAGCAACTCAAACTGTATAAGCTGGTTCCGAACGTTATCCTGCACATTCAAATTTTCGTTCACAATTTTAGAGCATTTCTAATAGATACGCGATTTGGAGAATCTGAAGATATTAACTTACTCCCTCCGTCCCAAAATAAATGTCAACAATGAAAATGACACACGGGTTTAGGAAAGCCTAACTATTACACTTTTTAAATAACTAAATGACACTTTTACTCTTGATAATAGATAGATAAACTTTTTCCTAATCATAATTAAGGATAGAATGGGAAAGTGTAAACATACTTTTGAAAGTTGACACTTATTTTGGATAAACTAGAATAGAAGTGTGTACACTTAACTTTTTTTGTTTTTTGATTAACCTGGATATCCAACCCGCTATGCAAGCCGACTAATCACAGTATACACTTAATTTGGGACGGAGGGAGTATTTTTTTTCTCCAACAATTCCTCCAAAATGGGGAAAGTAGGAGAGAGGATAATAATCCCCAAGTTTGGAGAACTCTCTGAAATCAAGTGTTGAAGAGGAGAAATGGTTTTTTTATTGTTCCCACCAATGAAATCGAATATAATTTATTGGGATAAGAATTCTATTGAATATTTTAATAATGATACATATAATGTTGAGGTTTCCAAAATGGAGAAACCGTTGAAGTTGGATGTAATACTTTTTGGAGATTTTAACTTTTGCTTCTCATTTTTTAAGAAATTATAGCAATCTTTCATGCTACTCAATATCCATTTTTGCACAAAAAGGATCTAACTGAAAGTAAAATACTCCCACCATCTCATGAAATCCAAAATTTCTCATGAAAATTGCAACATTTAATGTGTTTGGCAACTTTTTAGTAGATGGGGTCGTTTACTAAATGATTACTGGGATCACTCACCTTACTAGGTGAGATAGCAAGGATCGAGAATCTTACACAGTAAGAGGTAGAACATGGACCAAGAATCTTACCCGGTAAGTGTAGAATAAGACTTTTACCTGGTAAGCGCTTACTAGGTAAGAGACGCTTACCAACAATCCATTTTGATAGCCTGAGAATGTTACCCAACAACGTAAGTGAGGATGGTGACTCTTGCCGGTAAGTGTTTGGTAAACAACCCCTAAATTCATTTATTTGCCAATTGTCATCGTTATGATGAATTTGAGATAATGATTTATCTACAAGATTGTTTATTTTCTCATTAATGAAAGGTATTTAACAAATTTAGTTATCAGTCTAACATTTCCTTATACCTTGGCTATATTTGACACCTGTAAGTTGGCTTATTTTTTGAGGTTATTGAAAAAGAACCCATTTGGCAAGCCATAATTTAGCTTATAAGCTACCTTTGTGAAAAGTAGCTTCAAGGATTCTTTCCTTTTTTTCCAATTATGCCAAATTGCCAATTATATTTTACATAAATGACCACAAACCTTTATCTTTTTAGGTAATTTTACACTGTCATCTAGCTTATCAAGCTTATCTGCTAGTTTGTACCAAACATGACTTATTTATCAACTAGCTAACTTATCAACCAATAACTAGCTTATCAGCTACATTGCCAAACATAGCTTAACATGTGTTTAGTCAAATGTTGCAATTTTCATGGAATGATGATATACATCTACTTATTTGTTCATTGCCAAGTCAACAAGATTAAGCACTTTGTCATCATTATAGGGCAAAAGAGATATCACTTAAAATGAGTCCATTTCTTTCTTAGTTAATGTAAAAGGTCACAGTGAGCATTATTCGGGACGGATAGAAGCAACATAAAGCAATTCTAGCAAAAAAGAGAAGAGAAGCATACCAGTTGAATGTTGATGAAATCTTCAGTATCATCAATGTATTCCTTCAACTAGTACAAGAACAAAAAGAAAATTTTTCAATCAAAACATAGTTCCACCAAAGAGAATTCATATTAATGTAAACTATATACCAAACCGAACCGATCCGATCTAGTAAATCCCCCTCAAAAGTAGGGTCTAAGGAGGGTGGGATGTACGCACACCTGACCTCTACTTCAAAAGAGTATAGCAGTTGTTTTCGTAAAGACCCTCGACTTGTGCAAGAATGTGAGGAAACGGTTAAATGTAAACCATATACCAAACAAAACTGACTTAGGAACTGTTTGGTTAGTTTTCCATTAAGTCTTGCATGGATAAAGCTGTATGTGTAGATTAATCTGCCTGTATAGATTGGAAGAAGCGTGTGCCTTTTTATTGGGAGAGGCAGGTTTGTAATAAACTTGGCTTTCTGCATAAAGCTCTCCCTTAAAATCTTAGTGAATAAGCTACTACCAAACAGTCATTGTATAGTTGACCGAATAAGCTATGAGTCTCATTAAGCTGCTAACAAACAGACCCTTAGTCAATCCCACTCAAAACTGGAGACCGGGGAGGGTGTGAAATGTACACAGACCTAGCCTCTACCCCAAAAGAGTAGAACAGTTGTTTATGTGCCAACCCTCAACTTGTGCAAGAATGTGAGTAAATAGTTAAACGTAAACTATATACCAAACTAAACTGACCCAGTAAATCCCACTCAAAAGTAGGGTCTGGAGAGGGTGAGATATACACATGCATGACCTCTACCCTAAAAAGAGTAGAGGAGTTGTTTTCGTAAAGACCCTTAGCTTGTGCAAGAATGTGAGTAAATAGTTATCTGTGAACTACATACCAAAACAAACCGACCCAGTAAATCCCACTCAAAAGTAGGGTCCAGGGAGGGTGAGATGTAGGCAAACGTGATCTCTACCCTAAAAGTAAAAAGAGGAGCAGTTGTTTCCGTGAAGACCCTTGGCTTGTGCAAGAGTCTGGGAAAACAGTTAAAAATGTAAACTATATACCGATGTAAGCTTATTAAGAGTGCTATCAGTGACAACAAAGTACGCCTCCAGCAACATCTCGAGCTCATCGATGTGTTCTGTAGCACTCTCTGAACTCCTCGCGCTATCGTGTCTGCTCCTTGCAAGGCTCAAATTTTTTTCGAGCCTTCGACAATCGGGAGGTGAAGAAACCGGAGAAACTGGAGCGGAAATAGAAAGCCCACCATCAACAGATCGGTATCCCGGTATAGATTGTTCACCATAGAATAATGAGTCCATTCGCCTTTTTTTCTCTGTTAGATACATTTCAGCCATATCTCCATCATCATCCATGAGTTGCTCTATCTCATCTCTTACCTATACACAAGTATTCAACATAATGAGAAATCAAAGATGTGAAAATGATGATACTCCCTCTATCCCAAAATAAGTTTCCACTTTCCAATTATACCCTTAAATACGAGATGGAGAAATTCATTACTCCCTCTATTATTATGGCTAAAATTTTCATTTAGGTAATTAAAAAGTGTAATAGTTACACATTTCTAAACTGTTCTTTTTAAAAGGTGTCCACCTTTCCATTTTGATTATGAGATAAAGAAACTCATTACTCCCTCTATTATTATGGGTCTAATTGTCATTTAATTAATTAAAAAGACTTGAAGAGTAAATTAAAAAGACTTAAAGAGTAATAATTACACATTTCTAGTGTCCACATTTCTATTTTAGTTTGTCCTAAAGTAGATATCCACTTTCAAAAGTGTCTACTTTCCAATTCTACCCTTAATTAGATGGAGAAATTCATTACCCCCTCTACTATTATGGGTAGAATTGTCATTTAGGTAATTAAAAAGTATAATAATTACATGTTTCTAAACCTGTCTTTTTTAAAAAGTATCCACATTTTCTATTTTACTTTGTCCCAAAGTAGATGTCCACTTTCAAAAGTGCCTACTTTCCATTGGTACCCTTAATTATGAGATAAAGAAACTCATTACACCCTCTATTGTTAAGGATATAATTGTCATTTAATTAATTAAGAAGTGTAATAATTACACATTTCTAAACATGTGTATTTTTAACAAGTGTCCACATTTCTATTCTAGTTTGTCCTAATGTAGGTGTCGACTTTCAAAAGTGCCTTCTTTCCAATTCTACCCTTAGTTTTGAGATAAAGAAATTCATTACTCCATCTATTATCAAGGGTATAATTGTCGTTTAGGTAATTAATATGTATAATAATTACACATATCTAAAAATGTATTGCTTTTTTTATTGTGGACATCTATTTTGGGACACAGTGAGTAATTATGAGCAGGCAGAGACTATAACACCTTCTGAACCCTCCGAGTCAATGCAACGAGTCTGCTTTTCAGTCTACGAACACGCTCCAAGTTTGCAGTACTGATCTTTGATGTAAGTTCATCTAGCAATGGATACGCTTCGATTTCTAATTCTGATGCCTGATGAAATTGAAGAAGATATTTAGAGCATAACACTGAAACAACCGCTTTTTACTAGAGAACATGTGACCCCAGAAAAGCATATCTTTACTTAGGGTGCGTTTGATATAGGGGACAATATAAAACATGACAAAATAAAAACTTGTTCAATGTTTGGTGCGACAATTAGACCGGCACCTGACAAGACTGAGAGGTTGTTTGGTTGGTTTCCCATTAGTCCTGTATAGCTAAAGTTGCCTGTGTGGATTAATCTGGCTATATAGATTGAGAATATTTTTGTTTGGGAGGGTTTATCATAGATGGAATGAGCATGTCTTTTAATTGTGAGGGGCAATTTTGAAAGAAATTTTTTTTGGCTTTCTGCATAAAGCTTCCCCTAGAAGCTTACCAAATAAGCCACTTTCTATATAATTAAGTCACTATAAAACAGTCATGTATAGCTGACCGAATAAGCTATGAGTCTCATTAAACACATTAAGCTGCTACCAAACAAACTCTAAGTGGGATACAAAATGCATTTTCTGTCCCACCAAAATAGGCGGAACAAAAATCAAGAATGTACGATCTTGGTAAATTACTAAACTACCCATGTCAAAGTAAAACCCTAAAAACTTCCCCAATTCTTTCACCCGTCTACCTAGGTGGAACAACAATCTAGAAGTGGTGCCAACATATGTTATGCCCTTTGTCCCATATAATTGATTGGATACAGCATATTTAGGTAACATGATAGTAAGAATTAAGAAAGTTGACCCTATTTGGGTTACAAGAAAGGATACACATGTAATTTGTAAAAATCTAAAATCTGTAATCAATGACATACTATCTACACCACAGATTCACCAATAACAACTCAAATGAAATTCCTTTAAATTTTATTTCGACTAGGAAAAATGTGTGAGATAAATGCTTGTTATCTATGCACCGGTCAAATTGACTCACTACATAATAAACCAGATTAAGTAACATTCCTTTTAGTAACGAAATCACGTTCCTTCTTTATTACAAAGGAATATTTCCAAATAGCAGATTGAAAATCCAAGAGACACCTTTTAAGGTATAGATGAATAGTTGAAACAAGAGATTAAAGAGGAAGTTGATTTCCAAAAATGAAGGTACCTAATTACCTATTATTTCAAACATCAAGATACGGAAAACCCTGCTTATACTTTGGAAAACCTGTTACAAGATGACCAAAAAACCCACCATAAATTCAGTTCAAACATCAATCTTCCTACCCTCCCAGAAGCTAATCTGCTTCCTTCTCATAGTCATGCCTGTTGGAATATTTGGAACCCCATTAGACTCTCTAAAAGAACCATTGAGGAGAGAATGGAGGTTTCCTCATATATATTGCCCTAGAGTGACTGGTAGACCTTGAAACTGATACCATGTTAGAATATATGGAACTCCATTAGATCAGTCACCAAAAGAACCCTTGAGGAGAGAGTGGAGGTTCCATTATATATAGAGGGGAAAGAGTCCAAGTCTAGCCGATGTGGGACTCTAACAATGCCTCCTAGTCCAAGTCACCGATCTTCTTATTTAAAAGCATCATGAAGTCAAGCTTAGACATAAGTGATCCTACTGTATTGTGGTGTGTTGGAGTCCCAAATCCTAGACTTGGACCATTTCTCCTCAATATATCTTGGAATCTTTCTGACTCCTCAAGAGCTCTTTTGGAGAGTAATCTAATCGGGTTCCATATAATCTCACAAAGTGCATTTGGCAAGCATGGTAAAGGAAATGGCAACTATGCCATAAATACATATACATGTTGTATAAGTATAGGCTACAATGATGAGTGATTTTTTTTTTTGGGGGGGGGGGGGGAGTGTCAAAGAAGACTAATAAGGTAAACCATTTATCTTGATTCTTAAGAACTAAGGTCATAAGAAGACACAATAAAATGGGGTATGAATCTTCCTTCACTTATAGTAGTATCCCATAAGGCTTACTTCCATTGTGACACTTCTAATAGTTGAAGAACCTCAATTTTCTAATGTTGTAGCCATTAATCAAATATAAAAGCAAGAGAACCTTTCTTCATCGGATGTTAGTTACATATAATTAGAGTTGATGTGAACATACATGAACCAGTGGTCTTATATGAGCGGTTTTAAAAAAATGAAAGATGTTTGGTTTCAAGGCCATACAATCTTACGCGCAAAATAGAAGCAGTTATGCTCACATGGATCTAAGTCATACCATACCTCGGAGGCTCGGACTCATTTTGAAAGGCTGACACTTAGGGTGCGTTCGGTACATGAGACAGGGACATGACACAACAAAAACTTATTGTTCCACATATGCTGTGACATTTAGACTGGAACTGAACTGAATGGGAAAAAAATGCAATTTTTTTGTCCCACCAAAATAGGTGGAATAAAAATCAGGGAGATGGGACATGATTCATAAATTACTAAACTACTCACGTCAAATTAAAACCCTAAAGCCTTCCACTTTTTTTCACCCACCTACCTCACTCTCGCCTGTCTAGTCAAACGCACCCTTATGGAATTGTAGAATTGATAGTCGGTAATGCAACAAACCTGTGTGTCCAAAAATGTACAAGCAGCCTCAAGAGCAACTTCTAAAGCCTTGAACTCAAACGGCAAGTAATCAGCTGACGTACCCCCAAACATATCCCGGAAAGTCCTACCTCCTCTCCGTCTGTTGAAGTCAGAGCTTTCTGACTGCCAAACATCATCAGCTCCTCCAGCTTTCAACCGTCGTTGAAGTTCCACCACATACTGTAATACATAACTATCAAGTGAATTTAGAAGCAAAACTTCATCAGATGTTATAATACACCGAATCTGTTCCAAATTTACAACTATCGCCTTCTCTCTGCCAAGAATTGTTGAAGGGTAGACAAATAAAGGATCGAGTAGGCGAAGATCACGTGCAGGAAGATCACAACGCCGCATCATTGTGAACTTGTCAACCTCAATAACTTGGGAATCCCCAGTTGCGGCATCAACACGGATCCATGATCGAAGACCTTGGCCACGCTTTTTTAGGCCTAAAACATCAACTCCTTGAAAAGGCTGGCGCGCAAATGGAGATGCTCTGTAAGATGCATCTCGAGGGTTTAGAACAGGTGACGGTTTTGCTGGAAGGAGACGTGCTTTTATGTCTTCCATCGGAGAGGTCTAACTGCAACAATATGTAGGGAAAGCATAAAGAACAGATGTATTCAAGAAACAAGCGGAAAGGAAATGACTTGGTATTAGCCAAGTAAATAAACCGAAAACATCAAAATGGGTAATAAGTGTTGGTCGTTTTCTTTGATAAGTGCACAACATTCGACCTTTATGATGATTTGGTATTAGCTAAGCAAATAACCAAATACATCTGAGGTCAATTAATGTTTCATGGTTAAGGGATCTTGGTTCAGTGATAGTGTATATTCTCTAGTAAAGTTGATTCAATTGTAAAAAAAATGGATTTACGCAAATGAAACAATAGTGTTCTGTGCATTGCAATCCTAACATTTGTCACTGCAGTTTGTAATCTCAAATTCTTTTCCAAACTGCATTATGTAAATGAAGTAATAAGGTGCATTATCATGTTGACCAAACAACAAGGATATGTTAAAGTGGTCGCTTAAATGGCTATATGGATATGCCATGGTTCAAGCATGCGTAAATCTTACAGCAATTCGTTATTAGGGTTATAGATTTGGAAATTAACACATAAATTTTCAAAAGTTGGGAATATGACCATCTTTTGCTACATTTGCTTTTCATATTTGGTAGTTATTTGATAGATCATACCAATATCAGATTATATACTAGTACGTAGCCTTTTTGACATCGACAGATATACCTCTTAAAGTTAGCCCTTTCAAAAGAAATAAAGAACTAAAAAACTAATACGTTCCAGTCAGGTGAAATACTCTCACCACTAGCGGGAAGCATCCCGTCATAAACAAAGCATTACTGGCCCAACAGTACCTTTGTCATAAGTAGACCTCAACGTCCCACGAGGCAGGCCAAGGGTTCTAAGAGTGTGCTGGAATATTTGGCTTATATAAATGTTATATACTTAAAAAACATCTAGTCATAATGTAGCAAAAGATGGTCATATCCCAACTTCTGAAACAAAAGTTACAATCCTATCAAGGAATTGCTACAAGATTTAGGCATACTTGAACCAATAGCCATTTTAGCGTCACCTTAACATATCCTTTTTGTCTACAACCTGATCATACACCTGAATTTACAAATAGATGAGGAAAGTTCAGGGGAAAACCCCAAAAAGTTGAAAAACTGAGGAATGCCTAATAATCATTCGTCTGTACGGAATGCCCACATGCATACAAGTAAGTAATTGAAGATGTTTTATGGTTTCTATGCATGCATGGCCATGCACACGTACATACCAGGAAAATTACTTATAAATTACTTGTATGCACATGTGCATACTATAGAGCTCAGTAGTTAATAAGGTGTTTCTCCATTTTTTTTTTTTTTTGCGGTTTTCTCCCTGACCCACAAATAGATATTTAGAAAAGATCATGAAGATTACATACATCAGTGACAATTGCCAGTGATTGCATTGCAGAATTCACTAATCACTCCTTAAAAACAATCGTTTAATTTGCACGAATCCATTTTTTTAACAATTGAACAACTTTTCTATAGAATTTACGGGATTACTGAACCATAAAACACACAAAAAAGGGGGAAATCAGCAACTTACTTCCTTCATCCGAAACGAATCAATTAGGGTTTCACGAAACCAGAATTCAATTGCAACTGTGAAGGACGATCAAACAACCTGCAAAAAAAAACATCGAAAATTTAGAATCATAAAATTCGACCAAATAAAATCGGTTGATAATGTGACTTTATAGATGCATGAATTGAATGCGTCTAGGAGATGAATTAATTAGGCATTAATGAGCGATTAACGAGAGATTAAGAAGTGAAGAGAGGGTGTACCGCCGACTATAATTGCATATTTGCATACGACACTCCATGATTGGAATCTGAAACCAACAAATTTGGAGCCTCCGGATAGAAACAGGCCGGGTCGACCCGAATAAATGGAGTGGTTTGGCCCGCTTCGTACCTTTCCTCGAAACGACGCCGTAGATAGTGTTTGCACTACCTAAATTCTACCCTGGGAAAATTATTATACTCGTTAAAAAAATTATTATATTATAAAAACATTTTTTTTAAGATTTAAAAACATTTTTTTAAATATTTAATATATTAATTAATATATATCTTTTAAAATTAAATAGTATATATAGTTTTTAAAATTATTTAAATACATAAAATCATATAACATCCAAGTGATAAGCATGTTAACAACTTAAAATTGAAGATAATTATTGGGGTTTACTAAAATTTGTATCTATATCTATACTATCTATACTATATTATAAAGCATTTGATAAAAACTTTTAAAAATCATTTTTATGCGTAAAGTGTTATTTATTAATGTATAAGTAATGTTTACAAAATATTGCAAGTAGATTGTGTTTAAGTATAACTTATTAAAGCTCCATGTTTGAATTCGTGTAACTAACTGCGGATAAACATAATCAAATASAWRATAAACATCTCATTTTAAATATAAAAAATCTAAAATATAATTAGAATAATTATCGAGTTCTAACAAAATAATTAATTATTAACTTTATAAGAAAAATTATATTATTATACCAAATATAAATTACTTCCTTATTGAACTTAAATTTATAATAAAAAAAATTGAATTACAAAATTACACAAAAAATAGGAATTTTAAATAGTTAATTTGATACTAATATCGATATATTTTTGTCAATTTTTTATGATATTTTTAAATTTATATTTTATTCAAAAATAAAAACATCATCGTTTTTTTCAAAATTACATTAGATCATAATATAATATCGAATGAGATAAAGAATAAAATGTATCTCGCTGCATTACGTTAGTACTCTTCTAGTATTATAAAGTATTTAAAAAAAACTCTTAAAAACCATTTTTATACATAAAATATTGTTTATTAATGCATATTACTTAAAATTCAAGATTACAAATAAAATTTGTGTAACTACAATTTATTAAAGTTTCAAGTTTGAATTTGTTAAACATTGGATAAACATCTTATTTTAAATATAAAAAATATAACATATAATTAGGATAAGCATTGAGTTCTAACAAAGTACTTAATTACTATTTTTATTATTAAGAAAGTGAGAATTTTTAAATAATTAATTTAAGTCTAATATCAATATATTTTTTTCAAAATTTTATGATATATTCAAATTTATATTTTATTCAAAAATAAATAATTATCTTCTCCTCAAAATCACATAAAATCGTATTATAACATCGATAGATAAAATGAAACATTAAAATCGAGATGTATTTCGTTGATTTGCTTTAAACATTTGACAAAAACTTTTAAAAACTATTTTTTATGCATGAAGTACTATTTATTAATGCATATTACTTAAAATTCAAGATTACAAATAATTTTGCGTAAGTACAACTTATTAAAGCTTCATTTTTAAATTTGTGTAATTAACTGCAAATAAATATAATCAAATACAAGATAAAACATCCATTTTAAATATAAAAAATCTAAAACATAATTAAGATAATCATTAAGTTCTAACATAATGTTTAATTATTATCTTAAATTATACTATTAAACCAAAAATAAATTACTTTGTTATTAAATCTAAATTAAATTATAATAAAAACTTGAATTGAAGAAGTTACATAAAAAAAAAAGAACTATTAAATAGTTAATTTGATACTAATATTAAAATTTTTTTTTTTTTCAAATTTTTATGCTATCTTTAAATTCATATTTCATTCAAAAATAAAAACATTATTGTTTTCACAAAATCACATAAAATCGTATTATATCGATATAGACAAAAAATAAAAGTTAAACATTAAAATGAAGATTGATCTCGCTGCGTTGCACAGGTACCCTTCTAGTATATTATAAAACATTTAATTAGAGTCTTAAAAATAATTCTTTAGATATTTAATGTCGTTAATTAATATATATTTATATTATATTATAAAATATTTAGATTAAACTCTTAAAAACCACTTTTTATGTATCAAGTACCTTTTGTTAATGCATATCATTCAAAGTCAAGATTATAAGTTGATTAAGCATAGAAAATCCAAGATAAAACACCTTATTTTTTTTTTTATTAAAATGTATTATCCTTTTTGTAACACACCAGTTACGAAAACACCCACTTAACGATTTATAACTCCAATTAATCAGTTTTAACTTCCAAAATACTGGATATTAATTTTTACATGTGTGTATATGTGTGTGTGCGCGCACACACGCGCACGTGTAGTCAGGTTCATGGAAAAACCGCAAAAAATTAAAACCTAGAAACAACCTGATAACCATCCATCTGTACGTTAAACACATATGCATATAAGTAATTTATTTAGTATGCGCATCTACATAACATGCATAGAAACCAAGAAACAACTTCAATTACTTGTATGGACATGTGTATATCGTTCACATGAATAGTTATCAACTTATCATGGTGTTTTTCGGTTTTTCATTTTGTACGGATTTTCCCCTGAACCTCCCTCTATATATATATAGAGAGAGAGACTTGGGATAATATAACATCAAGTTATTTTCACAAGACCCGTGAGATCATGTAAAATATACTTGAAATCCTTTACTTAATCGGGCCCAAAAGCTTAGACCGAACCAAGCGACTTTCGGACCTTTTGTGCATCTCCATTAGAAATGCACAAAAAATCCTGAGTTTAAAGTCCGAGCTTAGTTAGCCCGAAGTCTAGTCCTGGCCAAGCGTCAAAGCCCGATTAAGCCAAAATTTTGGGGGAATGCCCAATCCAAAAATCCCTGGTATGAAAAAGCAAGGTTAAACCCGAAAAAAGTCTGATTGGGCCATTTTCAACCCCAAAGCCTAGCCCGACCCTCCTTCAGCCTTTTTCTTTACTAACTAAACATGGGCTTGGAAGGCCCGATCCTTGTGCATCTCTACGCACATCCCACCCTCCGACCGAGATATAAAAAGGGTTTGTTTAGTTTGATTTGGTATCGATTTACAGGAATTTACATTTGCCGAAAACGGATTCATCGATAAACGAAAAACAGAAGCTTAAGATTAAGGTTAGGAATGATTGCATATTGTGTATTATACAAGTGATGATGCATTAGGTACCAATTAAAAGGATCAAAACACCATTTTGTATACAGACAACTATGGTTCCTATGAAAGTAAATATAATCAAGTATGATTCAGTAACAAATTCGACACAACCCGCATTCGGGTTATCGCCATTTTCGATCCTGAAAACGACCAAATTCAAGTTACCACTTCCAAAGCATAACGTACAATTCAGAGCTGCACCAGAATGGTCGAAATCCACACTTAAACAGCATTCGGCAATCTGTATTGTATTTGATGCAAGCAGCCATGAACACAAAACCTTTCAGCATTTACAAAAACGATGTTGAGATCGTGAAAAGCTTAGAAAAGGTGAAGGTACCTTTATATCGTGTGAAATGTGACCGATATAATATATAAATAAATATATATATATATATATATATATATTGTACAGTATAATTGTAACATTTGAAGGTTACAACCTGTACAGAATATAACGTAACATTCACACAATATTAAGGCACCTTTCCCCTTTTTTTCTCGGTTCTCCCAAAGATGAAAATTTCTCACATGATCGTGATTCATTGAGATGAAAAGGGATTAGTTTGATCCGGGTACTTCTTGGTCGTTGGATGAATCCGATGGATGTGAAGTGGAAGGATGTGATTCGGGTTTCTTGAACTGGACCAAGATCATGGTCATATTGTCGCACCCTTCGCCACCAGAGGTGGGTGCCAAACAACGGTCAAATACCTTCTCACAGACCGCCGAGAGCTTGCTTTCCTACATTCATAGCTGCTTCAGTTCATCAACAAGACAACGGCCATGTTTGGTGACCATATTGAAAAATGCCCACTTCGTTAGATATCAAATGCTACTTGAAGTAGAGATTTAATAAGCTACACGGGATTTTTTCTTTCGTTTTCCAATTATGTCCTCTATTTTCCTAATTAATTTTTCAACACGTCCTTCGAGGTCATTTTACATAGTGATCTAGCTTATCAGTTGGTTTTTACTAAGCATGATTAATTTATCAACTAGCTTATTAGCCAACAACCAGCTTTCCATCTAGTTTTTTAGCCAACAGCCAGCTTTTCAGCTAACTTTTTTTTCCAACAGCCAGCTTTTCAACAAGCTTTTATGCCCCTAGCATTTTCCAAATTAATTTTCCAACATATCCTTTGAGGTCATTTTACATGGTCATCTAGCTTTATCAGCTGGTTTTTACTAAACATGACTAGTTTATCAGCTAGCTTATTGGCCAACAGGCAGCTTTTCAGCAAGGCCATGGGCCGTCTATTAACATGTTAAATCTTGGTTTTTGTTGATCAAAAACAAAATTGACTCTTTGACATTCTTCTCACTTTTGCGACTTTTAATATGACATGAAATTTAATATTTTATTTTTGTTTATTACTCATTTAAGACGATCTATAGTTTTAGTATGGGTGAACCAGGGCCTCCAAAAGATTGGGCTGGCCCTGCTTCTCAGCTAGCTTATTAGTTATTAGCCAACAACCAACTTTTCAACTAGCTTCTTAGCCAAACATAGCCAACATATCCATGAGATTACGAGTACGTGTTAATGAACTTACAGTTTTCAGTTGTTCCCGAACAAAGTCTACCAATTGTTGGCTCGACATGCAATCCCTGCATAAGAAAAGCTTTAAGCATTACATGTACTTTCCGACCAATGACACCTGGGTTTTCTGTTCGATTAGACCTTTGGGGATGTCATTGTAGAGTAACACATAACAAAATGTAAATAAAACAATATCATTGGACCCGAAGTGCACGTCTAAGGTATGTTTGCCAAACTAGCTGACAAGCTAGCTCTTTGCTGAAAAAGTAGTTGTTGGCTAATGGCTAGCTGCTAGCTGAGCTAGCAGATAAACTAGTAGCTAGATGACAATATAAAAGGGTAGGATAAATGCACCTCTATATATTGCTAAACTCACCCCTACCTACTAATTTTTTCCCCTCACACACATCAACATCAAGACTCTTTTTACATTTTCAATGCATGATTTGACCTGATCATAACATAAATAGGGGTGTATATAGCAATACCTCAATGTAAAATGATCTAAAATGACATGCTGAAAAATTAATTGGGAAAATATAAGGGGCATAATTGGAAAAAAGACGGAAAACCCCACTTGAACTTATTGAAGCACTACTTGGAAGTAGCTTTTTCAAAAAGCTAGCTTATATGTTTTAGGATGGGAACGGGAGGACTATCTTTCGAGAACTCCCTAAACTGTGAGATCTCAGAGAATTGTGCATCATGTGCTATTTCATATGATTTTTTTTTTCATCTATGGCTAGAATTTAATGTAGTGGTTAACATATATTTGTCTCACAATGTATTTGTTTCACAAGTACTCGTTCACAATATGAACCTTTTTGGCGTGTTTGTGAAACAAAAAATACACATAAGAAAGTTTCACATTGTGAACCGAACACATATGAAAATTGAAACAAACACATTGTGAAACAAATATATGTTAATCAATACAATAAATATAATACATGAAAAAGATCATGTGAAACAAAACCTTAAGATAAAAGTTCTCACGGATCTCACAAATTTTAGAGTTCTCAAATGATTAAGCCCCCGACGGTAATACATGCCAAATTGGGATAAAATGAGTAAAATTTGAGTTTTTGTTGTTAAGAGGGGTGGTGTACAAATTTGAGGGATCAAAACATCTGCTAGATAGTGAGGTGAAGGAAACAGAAGTTCAATATACCTAAAAAGTAATCTTTTAGCAATTAATATGATCCAAGAAGTCAAGAACTGCCTCCGTCTGCACCATTTATAACCTTAAAACAAATATTGTTTTCCTGTGTTCTCCATTTTGTTGGTCCCATTGATTTCTTTTCGGACCAACGGACCCATTTGAATGCTTAAAATGACTCGAACCTAAATGTTAATGCCAACGCATTTTAACGAAGGACACATACTTGACGGTATTTTCCTTGCACAAGTAGTTTTAGGCTAGAGCAATGGAGGAAGTTGCATCCGTCTCTTCTACCTTTCACTACTTTAGCTACAAAATTATAGACTATAAAATATCAAAATATATGAAATAAAATAAAAACTACCATATTCCATCGCAAGCAAGAACGAGAAAATCGTCATCCTCGCAAAGCTCAACCTAATTGGAGGAAGAGAGAAAGGAAAAAGCAACTCATGTTATCGAGAGCCAGAATCAGTAGTATAACCAAACCAAATGAAACCAGTAAATTTCAAGCGTAGTGGGGTCCATGCGTAATGAGGTAGGGGGCAGGGGGGGACCCCTACAATAATAACACAAGTTTCTCATGGTAACCTTATATTCTTTGAAACTACAATAATAACACAAGTTTCTCATGGTAAAGTTGGTTTTGCACGGTCTTTTCTCCCCTTCCAGGTGCGGGTTCAAATCCCCTGTCTCATTTTCTTAGTTTTTAACTTTTTATTTCAAGTTTATCGTGTTCCTGAAAATATTTGGGATAAAAGGCTCGAACACAAGACCTCATATACAAGAAGCAAGAAACTAACCAACAGACCAATGATGATTTTGCAAGCAATATTCATAGCTTTGTTTTTATAGGCAAATGCTGCTACCACTTGAAAATTTCTAGAAAATTTCTAGGTCCGTTTCTGGTCGACAAGTGTAAGTCAATGTACACAATCTTTCCTTTGCCTCAAGGGTAAAGAGGTTGATTCCATAAACACAATCATTACCATGTCATAAGCAAATATCATATTTTTAAACCTTGAGGGTCAGTTCAACAGACAAATAAAGACTAAGCGTTGGGACTCCTCCCCATTGGTCGCAGTTCAAGTCACCTCAGGGCCACTAGGGTGTATATGGTATCCAGGCAGGACAGAACGGAATAGGATGGACAGAACATAACATTTGTTCAACGTTTGGTAAGACCGAATTGGACATGACATAACAGATAAAATGACTAATTCACCTCTAATGAGTTGTTTATATCTTTTATATATTTTGATTAACTTATGTAATTTATTAAATTATAATAATATAAATATTTTTATAATAAAATATATCATTAGAAAGTTTTCATCAAGACGATTAAAATAACACCAAAATAAAAACTTTATGTAGTGTTTCCAATTTTTATTTTATACCTTTTCTATATTATTTTTTATTATTAATTATTTAACAAATTACATAAATTAATCAAAATATAGAAACCATATAAAGATAATATTTTAAGGAAAGTAAAGTGAAAGTTTAAAGAGCATAAAATACAATACATAAAATTTAAAGAATGAATCACATGTAAAGAGGGAAGTGTGTTTCATGTTTTAGAAGAGAATTATCTTTTATTTTGAAGTTATATTGGTAAAATATAGGTATGTTCCACCTTGTTCCATGGGGTGGGGGTGGAACATGCATGTTCCACTTTGTTCCACATAAAAGTCCTTACGTGTTCCACATAAGAGTCCTGCCAAACATGGAATAGTGATCCCTGTTCTATTTTGTTTTGTCCAGTGTACCAAACGCACCCTAAGGGATTTTCCAAGGTGTTATCTTTAGGGCCCAAGGGATTACTCGAGGTGTGCGCAAGCTAGCCCAGGCACCCACGGTAACCAAAACAATACATATTGTTTTGCGGTTTGCGTCTTCTAATGAATACAAGCAACTTATGATGCTACAAATGCATCATAAGTCTACAAAGTGCCAATGTAAATGGTTCAACATACTGTGTTTATATCGGGATTTGCGGTTAGAATTTGCTTTTCAGGGGGTAGTGTTTTATCTCTTTTCAGCTCCATGTCACCTGAAATTTTGATAAAGTAGAAACCAATGATGGTGATAGGGATGAAAAGAGCTATGTTCACATAAATGATGATAAGAAAATAAACAACCGAGAAATACCAATAGCCCGAGCCAAGTTTAGACTCCCGTTAACTCGGCCATAATGAATATAACCTCCCGCCTTATATATCCTTTCTCTCTCAGCCTCAAGATCAGGTTTATGGTCTTTTGACAAATTATATGCCTGTATAAAAAAGATTAAATTCCACATTCATGAGTGAAACTGGCATAGGGCCAACAGAATCTTTATCTAAGATGGTGCATATTTTCAAAATGGTCATATAAACAGCATTACCTGACCCTTCCGAGATATCACACAACGAGAATCACCAGCATTTGCTACAACAAGTTGGTTATTGCGGATGATCGCGACACAAGCTGTGCTACCACATGTTGGCCCATCGTAATTAGAATGTGGGCCCTATATCAATCGTCAACAGAACTGTGAGAGGTGTAGATGCTTCATGCTACCAATAATATGATGATCAAAACTAGTTCAATTCCCTTTCATGACTATACAGTTTGAGGATATAACTTTCAAGTTTTAATGATACACTTCTGGACTCTCGGGTCCCGTTTGGTTTGCAGGATTTGATAGGATTTGGAGGGATATGGAATTGAATTCCATTCCAATCATGTTTTTGGTTTGAAGGAATGCTTGGATTTGAAATCCCGGGATTTCATTGAAATCCCACAAACATGGGATTTAGAAATCTCATGGGGGTAGTTGGTATTTCGTGGTATTTCATAGGATTTGTTTGTAATAATGTTTTAAATATGTTAAAAGCACCTGTTTTGTAACAAACAATTAATAAAAAGATAATTTAATAATTTTTATTATTTTTTTATAAATTATTTATAAAGAATGGAATTCAATTCCATTCCAAATCCTATAAACCAAACACACTAAAGATCCAAATCCTTCCACGAAACCCAAATCCCTAAAAAACATTCGATCAATCCAAACGGGCCCTTAGTATCTGGCATGAAAACAACAATATATTCCCACATGAGATTTCTCTTTATCGTTGGAACTGATATTGGAAAAAGCAGAAACAATCGATTACTTGGTGCATGCAAAGAAAGTACCTCCTCAGTAGACCAATTATCATTTAGACCTTTTAAATCGCTACCCCTGGGTGACCAAATTAGTCCTTCTATCATGCCGCTGAATTGATCCATTTTATTTCCCAGTATAGCTAACTCTCTCCAGCCACGTTGTCCACACATCATCTCATCCATTCTACATAAAGATACAAATGTGTTCAGATGATAGACAACACACTAAACACCTACTGGCATTAATGAGTATAGGGCTGTTTTGTCGGTTTTCCATTAAGTCCTGCATGGATAAAGCTAAATGTGTGGATTAATTTGTCTGTATAGATTAGGAGGAGTTTTTCATAGATGAAAGGAGCATGTTTTTCGATTGAAAGGGCAAGTTTAGAAGAAGAAAAAAACTTGGCTTTCTGCATAGAACTCCCCCTAAAAGCTTACTGAATAAGCCACTTCCTATATCATTAAGCCACTAAGAAACAATCATGTATAGCTGACCGAATAAGCTGTGAGTCCCATTAAGCTCATTAAACTGTTAACAAACAGGCCCTTGCCCCTTGCTGAACAAATAAATAACTTATAAAAGAGTAACCTGAGAAAAGATTTCTGGGCAGCATTTCCAATATCACCAGCAGAATAATCTTCCTGCTTGAGCACTTGGTGGTGAAGATACTTGGCACAGAACTTAGAGACTGCCTGACCTGCAAGCTAACAAGCTTAGTGAGGACAGGATGTCAGCATAGCTCATCACAGATGCTTGATAACCAAATGAGCGCAGTATGACCCCACCGGAGGTGGAGTCTGGGAGGGGTTATATGTATGTGGATGCACCCTTTAGGGGTAGGTCGCACATGCCCCCATCAAAAAGTGAAAAAAGTTGTGAATTATATTTTTAAACCCCAAATTTCGTATTTACCCCAAAAAAATTGTGTTGTCCAAAACCTTCTCTTGTTCATGCCCCTAACTTTTTTCAGGCCACCCACTCATTGTTTATGGTGTTGTAATTGTCAACAATTTTAGTGTTGTTTAGGATGATTTTGAATGGTGTTTCTTTTGGAATGATTGTTAAATTATTTAGATTATGTGCTTTTCATAGCCGTTAATGGTGAGGATTTATGAATAACCCAAAACTCATTTGGTCCAGAACTCCAGATGGGTTATTCGACTTTGGATTTTTATACCCCTAGATGTGCCCCCGATCAGTGACTTTCTGGATCCGGCACTGTATGCAGACCTGATCCCTACCCCGGCCCAGAGGGCAGAGTGGTTGTTTCCATGAAGACCCCCAGCGCATTACAGACGCTAGATAGCTTAGGCAAATGCCTAGAGATATTTATCAACATAAACCTCCATTCTCAAGGCATACATATTTTTTAAGTGGCTTCGTTTATTTAGAAACACATAACTGAGAAGTGAAGAAAATTATTTTTAATTATGTCAACTCATCATGCAAAGCCAATCATATTGAATTTTATACACAGCCTCAAAAGAAAAAGTTCAAGTAGTACTAAATCTCTTATTTCTAGTTGTTCATGGTAGACCAAAAGAGTCTAAACAGCAACTGTATGATGAATATACTAGTCATTATTCTCTACTACATCAAACATAATCGACCAGACACTTTATCAAATATGTTAAGGCCAGTCATGTGAATCAGTTATCTGCACAAGGTTTGGTCTGAAGCAAGAAAACTATTAACCTGAAACTAAAGATATTTTTGTAATGCATCTAAGTGTATCTCAATATCTCCTACATTTCATGTTTCAAAATCAGCTTTAATAAAGTCACTCTTCATAATCCACAAACTTATAAATGTTTGTATTGTAGTATGCCGAACCTAGGAATCTTCTCTGTATCTACATTCTTTTGCAGTCATGAGATGCTTCTTAAACATCCTAGGTCTGAACGCACACCTTAATCATAGCTGGCTGACAGCCATCCTCTAATAATTTTATTTCAGCTTTTCCTATATAAGAATATTCTTATCTATTACACCTCCTTACCCAGAAAAATTAAAAGTCGACCTACACATGCTTGTCTCTCCCTCATGGTACATCATCCATACATTGTTTTCTTATTAAATAAATTTAATATTTCCAATTTGAATTGGTCAAAGTTAGGGGCTGTTTGGTAGGTTCTCCATTCAATCCCATATGGATAAAGCTGTTTGTGTGGATTAATTTGTCTGTATAAATTTGGTAACATTTTTGTTTGGGAGGGTTTTTTATAGATGGAAGGAGCGTGTTTTTAGTTGGGAGGGGCAGGTTTGGAAAAAACTTGGCTTTCTACATAAAGCTCCCCCCTTATATCATCAAGCCAACAGTCATGTATAGCTGACCGAATAAGATGCAAGTCTCATTAAGCTCATTAAGCTGCTAACAAACAGGCCCTTAAAATCCTCCTGCCCTACTAGAAGGATAAAGAAATCATTAATGTTCAGAAACTCTACCAAACTTGTCTTCACCCATACATCGTTTTTTCTTATTAAATAAATTTATTATTTCCAATTTGAATTCACCAAACTTAAACTCCTCCTGACCTAATAGAAGGATAAAGAAATCCTTAATGTTCATAAACCCTACCAAATTTGTTTCTCCCTCTTGATGCATCACTCATACATTGTTTTTCTTATTAAATAAATTTATCATTTCCAATTTGAATTGGCCAAACTTAAACTCCTCCTGCACTACTAGAAGGGCAAAGAAATCTTAATATTTAGAAACTTTACCATGTAAAAGACAAATAACACTTGAAGCAAAGAAAAAGTAGAACATGGAAACCATGTAGTAAGAGACTAAGAGGCTGGAGGCCTAAACAATATAATAAATATTTCAGAAATACTCAAAAGAACAAGAAAGGAAAAAGAAAAAGAAGTGAAAATTGAGTGCTCATAGCAGCAAACAGAAAGTTAAGAAAGTGAACTTGAGTAGTGAAGTTAGTTACGTTCAATAGAAATGATGAAGCCACAATGCCCATATAAATGAAGAAACAAATGCATATATGTATCATGTATATCCATGTGCTTACCTCCATGGCCATCGTAAACACCAAAGAAAGATGTGGAGTTGTCCAAATCAAGTAAAGCAGCATGCTACCAAACACCTCATATAGGCAGATAAAACGCTCAGTAAGTAGAGTAATCCTTACAGTCGTTAAATATTTGTCAATGCATAAAACTAACTGATGGTTGTATCATATAGGGATATAGAAAAATTTACAAAATGGCGAAGTAAATAGCATAGCAAGATGTATAATGACCAAAACCTATCGGCTCCAAGAATCGTAGCATGATGTGGAGTCATCCAAATATGTAACCCCATGCATCTTCTGCCATGTCAATCTTCCTTCAACAGATGAACAGTATATACTTTCTTAAATTGTTAAATACCAATTCCATTGATCTATGTTTTCTTAGATGGATGAAACGGACATGATCTTCAGTTAAGGGACTGTTTGGTTGGTTTTCCATTAAGTCATATATGGATAAACCTAACTGTGGAGATTAATCTGTCTGTATAGATTGGGAGGGATTTTTTCATAAATGGAAGGAGCGTTTTTTAATGAAGAGGCGCAAGTTTGCAGAAAACTTGGCTTTATGCATAAAGCTCCCGCTAGAAAGCTACTGAATAAGCCACTTTCTAAATCATTAAGCCAATACCAAACAGTCATGTATAGCTAACCGAATGAGTTGCGAGTCCCATTAAGCTCATTATGCTGTTAATAAACAGGCCCTAAAAGCACACGTAGCCACCAAAATAGAGCATCAAATAGATGAATGGAACTATTTTCCTCACAAAGCTTGCAACAACAACAAACTTAGATCCCAAATTAGTTATGTCACAAAGCTTATACTTCAAAATCAAATATAAACATCAACCTATCAAACCTTTTCAAATAAGGAACTCCAACAAGAACAATAGGTTATGTAACTAAGATGTAGCCTAGAGTAGGTACTTACAGCGTCCTCCATTGATGTGCGCCACCCTTGCATTGATGACACTCCATATCTTAGTTTCTCATTCTCACCATCCTCAGAGGTCTTATCGGTTTTAGGTGAACTTAGATAAATTCCCATATCTATCAATCGATCTGGATATTAAATCCAAAACCCCAAAATTATCAATCACAGTACACAAATTACACTTACATATAACAATCATACACCACATGTCCACATCTGGCTGCTAAAGAAAGATAAAGAGGAAATTGACAGATATAGCCAATAAGCAATCTTTTTCCTTTTTCTTTTTTGCCAAAATCAATCCTTATGCATATGCATAAGAGGATTGGCTAATTTGGGTTAGAAAATGGCTAAATAGTGAAAGCACCTATCAGCTTTGACTATTATATAAATTTCCAAAGATAAAGCTATACCACTTTCATATTTTCAGTATGCTAGCAAACAGATTAGAACACACCAAACTAGAAACACAAACTACCAAACAGCAACCTAAATTCAATACAATCACTCCCTAAAATGCTAACCTTAATTAAAATTTCAAAATAATTGCCATTCCAACTTCAAATCTAACGTGATATTAACAACACAACGAATGATTCGTAACAAATCAACAACAATCCCACCATACAACGATGATATCAAATCTATAACCCAACTCTACACAGCTCAAATCTAGAAAAAGGAAGATCCTCACAGAAATCCCAATCACAATAGATCAATGACTTCATAAATGACACATTAAATGCGAGGACACTCAAATTACACAATTCATCCTCATATGGTTAAACATCAAACTGTAATTAGATCTAAAAACCGTAATCATTATAAATCAAAGATTGAGAATTAAGTACATACTTTGAGATACACTCTCACACTTACCAGAGATTTGGATTTGTCCGTACAGTTTTCGCGATTCCGGTGGGGGCACCCCGGAGTGTTTGGGGGTTAAACAGGGGAAAGAGAGTGAAGGGGTTGGATTATAGATAGATGGTTTATTGGCCAGGTGGAATCCACACATTGGGCCTAATAAACGTACCCAAATTGGTCGATTTCGACGTTTTTGTTTTGTTGATTGGTAATTTGGTATTCGTTTTCTAGAATATTCAATATTCAATTAGGGTTGTTCATCCAAACCGTTAATATCATATCACATTGCACTGTAAAGTACAGTTTAAAATTTTCGTGGTACAGTTTATGGTTTGTATTATTATTAAGCCGCACTGTTTAGTATGGTTTACAGATTTACGTTATCAAACAGCGGTTCAAACCATATCAGATATTTTATATATTTCTTAATTTATATCGAATATATATTAATACTATATTATAAAACATTTGACAAAAATTCTTAAAATCCATTTTTTATACTGTTTATTGATGCATATTACTTGAAATTCAAGATTACAAATAAATTGTGCGTAAATACAACTTATTAAAGTTTCATGTTTGAATTCGTGTAACTAACTACAGATAAATATAGTCAAATACAAGATAAACATTTCATTTTAAATATATAAAATCTAAAATATAATTAGGATATTATTTGATTCTAACAATATATTAAATTATTATTCTTATAAAAAATATATTATTAAATCAAAAATAAATTATTTCGTTATTAAACCTAAATCTATACTATATTATAAAGCATTTTACAAAAACTCTTAAAAACAAATTCTTATGCATGAAGTACTGTATATTGATGCATATTACTTAAAATTAAGATTACAAGTAAATTATGCATAAGWACAACTTATTAAAGCTCAATGTTTGAATTCGTGTAACTAACTGCGGATAAAAATAATCAAAAAGAAGATAAACATCTCACTTTAAAATATAAAAAATTTAAAATATAATTAGGATAATTCTCGAGTTCTAACAAAATAATTAATTATTATCTTTATATTATCGTTATTGAACATGAATTAAATTATAATAAAAAAATTGAATTAAAAAATTACACAAAAAATAAAATTTTAAATAGTTAATTTGATACTAATATCGATATATTTTTGTCAAAATTTTATGATATCTTCAAATTTATATTTTATTAAAAAAAACATCACCGCTTTTTCAAAATCACATAAGATCACACTATAACATCGACTAATATAAAGAATAAAATGAAATATTAAAATCAAGATGTATTTCGATGAATTGCACGAGTACCCTTCTAGTTAAATTATAATAAAAAGAATGAATTAAAGAAATTACACAAAAAACAAAAACTTTTAAATAGTTTATTTGATACTATTATTGATATATTTATTTTTGAATTTTTATGATATCTTTAAATTTATATTTTATTAAAAAATAAAACATTATCCCTTGTTCAAAACCACAAAAAGATCTGCATTAAAACATTTACAGAGACGTAACAAAACAAAACATTAAAATCGATATATATCTCGTTGCATTATACGAGTACCATTTTAGTATTATAATAATTAGGCTATTTTTTAATTAATATTTTAGTTTTTTCTAGATTACTTTTAATTATCTAATATTAATTTGAAAATATGATGCAACTTTTTATTTGTTTGCACTGCGGTCACGTTATTACTTATTTTACAATAAAGTTAATTATTGGATTCTAAATGTAAAGTGCGTTGTATACAATCTATATAAATCACACCGCATTTCGCCGTGTAGCTTTTTTGCAGTTTCAGACATATGCGGTGCGGATTTTTACAGTTTCGAAAAATGTTCAAACTGCATATGCAGTGTAGTTTGCGGTTTAGCCCCAAACCACACCAGACTACACCACGAACGACCTTATACATGTTGGTTGGTTTGGTTTGGTTTGGTTTGGTACAACTCTAGTGTCTAATTTGTCCTAAAATAAATATACATTTTCACAAGTTTCCACTTTCTTATTATATCTCGTAAGAGTTTGATTGTAAGTTTTTATCACATATGATAATTTGTTCGATGATCTTATCAATCATATATGATAATTAGGGGTGCTCATGGGTTGGGTTGATCGGGTTGAAAACATTTGAACAACCCAACCCAATGCTTGCTGTTTGTAAAATCTTAACCTAACCCAACCCAACCCAAACCGTACAGATTGGTCGGGTTGATACTTTGGTACATTAAAATATTTTTCTAACATTGAATAAGTTATTTCTCTACTCATAATTTCTTTTTCATTATCAATCATTTGATACAACTTATCTATACTTCTTACATATATCACATTCAGTTAGTTTTCTCAATTTACGTATATATGTTTACAGTTACTGAACATATATACGAATGAGTTATATAGAGATGTGAATAGATTGAAAATATGTGTATATGAATAGCGTACGTGATAGTGTAATTGTCTAGTGTATATATTAATAAAAATTCAACAATCATATTAAATCCAAGAAATAAATGGATATCGGGTTCATCGAGTTTGGTTGAGTTCAAATAATAGTAACCCAATATCAACCCTATACTTACGGTTTGAAAATTTTACAACTCTATTAGACATTGGGTTGTTTTGGGTTGAGTTATTTCGCGTTGAGTTGGAATGGTTGGTCGGGTTTTTGAGCACCCCTAATGATAATTATAGATATTTTTGTTAGTAATATGTGGTTATGTATATTTACATTTATAGATTTTTTTTGGTGATGCAAATATTATCACATGTGATAATACGTCACTTATATTCAGACATCTATTATCACATGTGATAATACGTAACTTATACTCACAAGTATATATCATATATGATATGTACAAAAATCTACATAGTGGATCATATGTGATACATAATAGATTATATGTTTAACGAAATTAATCAAATGTGATTCAAAACGTAGATCCAATAAATGATGACAAAAATAATGAATTGATTGTAGATATCACATGTGATATTTGATGAAAATTTTGATCTTTTTCCAAAAGTGTACCTAGAAAAAGAATTATACAGAACTTAATAAAAATTATGAATTAATTAAAATAAATAAATTTAAAAGATATAATGAAATTTTTAATGGATTTAAGTAGTATTTTTCTTACAACTAGAAGGGTACTCGTGCAATGCATCGAGACACATCTTGATTAGTTGATTTCAGTGTTTCATCTTATTCCTTTTTATATGTCGATATGATACGATTCTATGTGGTTTTGATAAAACGATAATGTTTTTATTTTTGAATAAAATATAAATTTGAAAATATCATAAATTTTTGAAAAAAATATATCGATATTAGTATCAAATTAATCTCTTTAAAAGTTCTTGTGTTTCTTAATTCAAATTTTTTTTAATTATAATTTAATTTAGGTTTAGTAATAAAGAAATTTAATTTAGGTTTAATAATATAATTTTTTATAAAGATAATAACTAARTATTCTRTTATAACTCAATRATTATCCTAATTATRTTYTAGATTTTTTATATTTAATATGAGATATTTATCCAATATTTGATTATGTTTATCTGCAGTTAGTTATACGAATTCAAATATGAAGCTTTAATAAATTGTACTTATGCACAATTTACATGTAATTATAAATTTTAAGTAACATGCATCAATAAACAGTACTTCGTGCATAAAAAATAGTTTCTAAGAGTTTTTGTCAAATACTTTATAATATAGTATATATTATGTTCTTAACACAATATTTGATCCAAATTAAAATGGTAATTATCTTAATTTTTAAAAATATTTTCCACTTTTTATTTATGGTGTTTTTTTAAATTCAATGAAGTATCTGGTTTATATTGCTTCTCATTTTCTTGTAAATTAATTGCCTTCTCATTTGAAGATACCCCCCATTTATGTGTGTGTGTGTGTGTGTGTTAGATAAACATATGCATGTAATTAAGGATTCCTTTTCGTTCAAGTATGTAAAAAATACAGTAATATTTTTATCTACACTGATTTAATTATTTGTATGTTACGTATGAAAGCAACGAATGAGAATGATTTGCAAATTTCACTCAATTTATCTGATAACAAAAATAACCCTTATCAGTGTATGATATCTGATATCATGTAGGGCTAAAAATTACCCCCCTAATGAGTCCAACGGACCTTAGCCCAAAAACACATTCTTGTCAAAATCTGAAGTCAAGGAACAGATGATCGCCCCCCCCCCCCCCCCCTATTAAGTAATTATCTGTTTGAAATAACTTTAATCTGAACTGACATCACAATGATACAGATATGGAATTACAGCCGTTCTTCCATATCCATCTAACAGCCAAAAATCTATCGCTGCCATCCATCTTGAATTTTGTAATTATGTCATGTCGTCATCAACCCCCGATCCGCCATCTCCATATTTGTCTCCTTTAGACGTAGTAATATGTTTATCGTTACAGAATTAAATAAAATACCGACATCAAAAGAATTGTATATGTACGTTTATATTTTAAAATGATAGATTCATTAACACGTATGTGTATTTATATACGTGAAAAAGTGGTTGAGATTCAATTAATCTATACTATATTATAAAGCATTTGACAAAAAAAATTAAAAATCATTTTTTATACATGAAATATTGTGTATTGATGCATATTACTTAAAATTCAAAACTATAAGTAAATTGTGCGTAAGAACAACTTATTAAACTCCATGTTTGAATTCGTGTAACTAACTGTAGATAAATATAATCAAATACAATATAAAATTATTATTTTAAATATATAATCTAAAATGTAATTAGAATAATTATTGAGTTTATTAAACCAAAAATAAATTATTTCGTCATTAAATTTAAATTAAACTATGATAAAAAAAATTTGAATTAAAGAAATTACACAAAAAAATGAGAACTTTTATATATTTTTAATTTTTATGATATCTTCAAATATATATTTTATCAAGAAAAACATTATTGTTTGCTCAAAATCACATAAATACGTATTATGACATCGACATAGACCAAAAAAATGAAATGAAACATTCAAATCGAGATATATCTCGCTGCATTGCTCGAGTATCCTTCTAGTATAACATAAA